AAAGTGACCAACCTGTCCACAATTATAACACACTTCTGAAGATTGCTGGAAGTATGGCTTAAATCGTCCTCCTCTTCCTCTTCCTAAGCCTTCTCATCCTCTTCCTCTCCAATTCTGTGTCTGTCCAGAAACTGGCTATGAATATGAAACAACTGGTACCGCTATTGGTGGCTGGTATAATTGCGGTTGGAACTGGTTCGGTTGAAGCTGTGGCAGTGATTGTTGATTTGGTGCACACTGATTCTGCATAACCAAAGCTTGTTTCTTCTCCTTCTTATTCTCCACGAGTTGTATTTGATTGAGTTTTCTGAGTTTCTTGGTCCTGTTCTTTCTGGTTGTGTTCCTTTTTCCGGTACAGATCCACTTGATGGGCTATATGATCTCTATAGACACCTTTTGTCATGCTTCCAAGTCCAACCACCTCTGCCAGTTTGCTCCTTACTGGTGAGGGCAGTCCCATCTGTAGTTTAGCTCTCAATATTGACTGCTCAATTTGACTCACATCTGGATCATTTCCGGTAATATTTCTCCACACTTGATGAACTCTTGACACATAGGCTCTCGGATTTTCTTGTTGTCCTAGTGGGTCAATCAGAATGTTGTCAGGATGCACATTTGTTGGAAACGTATCTTTCAGTGCTCTCCACAGCCGATTTCTACTTGCAGCTAACAATTCAGGATCATTCACCGCAGTCCCCACATATCGATGAAGTCCAGCTCTCTGAAAAATGTCTTCCTTACCTGGAATCCCAAGGAGATTAGCCAAAAGTCTCTTAATGTCTCCTATGGCAGACTGTGTTCCCACCGTAATTTCTTCCAACTTTGAAATCCAAGGATATGCTCCATCTTGAAGAGTAGGCAGCTTCTCAAGTATATCTGACATATCGGTATTCTGCAAAGGTTTATACTCCAGGTTCTGTCCTCGAATTATCACTGGCATCATCTTCTTACTTGTGCTCCCTTGTCTTGGCCTCAATGTATACTTCTTCTCCAATTCTTGGGATCCTTTTTTCAGCAGTTTTTTCTTCTGTATCTTCAGCTTCTTGAGTTGTTCTTCCAGTTCTCTTACTTCTTCTAAATTATTGGCCTTATCCAGGCATGATATGCATCGATCTATATCTTTTTCTATTTCTTCTGTGCTAGTCATTGTAGGATAAAATCCTCTTGAATATGAAGCACCTTTAATCTCCAAATCTTCATTGCTGTCTCCATCTTCACTTTCATCAGAGATCAGATCTCTTGTATCCTTCTTCCTCCAACTTCCATCACCCCTTCTTTCCGCTCTGGCCAACCTCTGTCTGATCACAGGGTCATATCCACCCATGATCTCTTCTGAATCACTCTGATCATCATCATCTCATCTTCAAGGTCCATCCTCCTGAACCTCACTCCACCCTTAGTTTCCAGACATCTCGTTTTCTTCTTACTTTTGGAGTTTGGATTCATCTTTATGGTCGTTTCTGCTTGTCCTCTCTCTATTATTCATTCAACTTCATCTCTGATGCAATAATCACCCTCCTGAATGATCACTGGAAGCTGAGGATAGATGTCCTTAAACTCTACTTCTTCCTCGTAAGGTGGGGGTATTTTTGCTGAATCCATATGTGAGAAAGGTGTATTGACTTCTGCCATTAGTTTTTCTGTTACCTTCACCTCTTTTGCCATTTTCTCTATACCTCTGTCTCTTTTATCTTTTGTATCTTTTATCAGTTTTTGTCCTTCATTTTCAAACAGTTTAAGAACACCCAGCTCTCTTTGTCTCTTTTCTTTACGTTGTTCCCTTTTTTTCCCCTTCTTTTGATCTGCCTTATACGTGGATACAAGCACTTGCATTATCTTGATGACGTCTGGGTTAAGAGTCCCTTCCACTGGCCATGGTTTTTCAATGTCAGGCCAACGTTTATTCCATTTTCCAAATAACCTTGCAATACCATTAACTAGAGGATTACTATTTTGTACTACATCAACAGGAGTAATTACTTTTGTAGTTTTGATGTCCTTTTCCCCATTGTAACGACTCTTTTATATGTTTCCCTCCTTTTTTATTTTATTTATTTATTTTAATTAATTAATTAATTAATTAATCAATCAATTAATTAATTAATTAATCAATATATCCATTTATTTTATTTATTTTATTTTACCAAATTATTGATTAGTGGCAATCTTACCACATCCGATCAGGAAAAGTTTAGGAAAGTAGTCAACTTCAGAGCAATCCAAAAAAGAAAGACCTGTAATCCAGCAACACTACAGCACTCACAAACCAATTGCTTAATAATCACCCAAGTACTTTAATTTTACAGAATAATGTCAGTGCTGGATTTCCAACACAACTCTAATCAAAACAACTCATTCACAAAAACCCTAATGTGCAATTCTCAATTACATCAATTCATCAGTCTGTTGCCAAGTTCCTGTGAAATGGGCACAACATGAAATATTCTATGCATACACAATGTATCTATTATATCCTGTAAGGGAAAGTAGGTTTTGTGGATAGAACAGTATGGCATTAATTGGACTGGATCCGTCGCAGCACACACTGTCGCGTGACGCACTTGTCAGCACCACCTCTCTCTCTCTGTCTCCTCCTTCTCATCTCTCACGTGACAGAAGAACAAAAGGAACAGACAAGAATTTAGTCTTTTATGCACTCACTGGGTTATTTCAACCATACAATACCCTTTTAGACATACCTATGTTCACATTCGCGCTAAGAAATAAGCAAACTGTTTAACTCAGGAATATTATAAATAGCGCAATAACATTTTATTTTATTTATTTATTTTATTATTGATATTATTACTATTATTAAATGTTTTATCCGTCAACATATCTTCTCATTTATAAATTCAATAGATCTCAATCAAATAGTTTCATAGTTAAGCAACAGCCGATTTAACAAACAGAATACTTTAATCGTATGTAAGTCTCCCCCTTTCTACTCTGTCTGCATGTCACAGTAGCTCAGTGCAGGTAGGGGAGTGGCATATTTGCTCTACGTAACTCTAAACTCATAAAATCTCACGCATGCGCAGCTCATTCACCAATGCGATTTCAGAGTGAAAGGAGCTCTCCCAAGCAGCTCTCTCCAAGCTAAACAACAGAAAGCAGACAGACCAGCTGTCCCTCCGTTATTTCCAACACAGACAAACAGTAACACTTAACAAAACTCAAAAACCAACACAGAACATAGAACACAAATCCTACTTCGAAGTTTCTTATCTTCACTTATTCTAATCTGCAGATTTATAGTTATTTTCTTATCCATTACAAATAATCGTCCTCCCAGGGGCTCATCGTTTTTTAACAATTTGTAAACGTTCTCTCTAATGGAGACACATAAGATTTTAACCTTAACTAACATATTTCCTTACAAAAAACTAAAACCCCTGTTGTCATAGCCTTAGTCGACACACAGCAGAGACCTCCCCTTTTACACACACGCATAGGCTCTCTTTCACACACACACACACATATTCAAACAAGAATGCATCCGTTCATCCAATACACTAAGCATGCTACCGTCGCTCCTTATTTCTCATTGTTCCTTCCTAAATTTCTGCTACCTCGAGTTGCAGGTATTCAATGAGAGGTTACTTCGAACATATACTTCGTCAACTATATTCCGAGAGGTAACGTGCAATTGAATGTATCTTCCACAAACTCACAGTTCCCAGAACTGACCCGAAAGTGACACTTGGCATTTAGGCCAAAGAGTTCAATCTTGGTTTCATCAGACCAGAGAATCTTGTTTCTCATGGTCTGAGAGTCTTTAGGTGCCTTTTGGCAAACTCCAAGTGGGCTGTCATGTGCCTTTTACTGAGGAGTGGCTTCTGTCTGGCCACTCTACCATAAAGGCCTGATTGGTGGAGTGCTGCAGAGATTGTTGTCCTTCTGGAAGTTTCTCTCATCTCTACAGAGGAACTCTGGAGCTCTGTCAGAGTGACCATTGGGTTCTTTGTCACCTCCCTGACCAAGGCCCTTCTCCCCCGATTGTTCAGTCTGGCATTCAAAAATGACGTTTTGGTACACTTCCCCAGATCTGTGTCTCGACACAATCCTGTCTCGGAGCTCTACGGACAATTCCATCGACCTCATGGCTTGGTTTTTGCTCTGACATGCATTGTCAATTGTGGGACCTTATATAGACAGGTGTGTGTCTTTCAAAATCATGTCTAATCAATTGAATGTACCCTAGGGGGACTCCAATCAAGTTGTAGAAACATCTCAAGGATGATCAATGGAAACAGGGTGCACCTGAGCTCAATTTCGAGTCTCATAGCAAAGGGTCTGTATACAAAAAAAATAAAAATGTTTTCGCTTTGTCATTATGGGGTATTGTGTGTAGATTTGTATTTATTTAATCCATTTTAGAATAAGGCTGTAACGTAACAAAATTTGGAAAAAGTAAAGGGGTCTGAATACTTTCCGAATGCACTGTTCATCGCGCCAACGTCAGCCCTACATCAGGCCGATGTAGTATGGAGAGTGTTTGTACATTGGCAAGATGTCGCTGAGACGTCGGCATTAGATCGCATTCGCCCTTCAGTCGCTGTTTGGACGATGCATGTCAAAGCTGCATGCTGCCTAGGTGCTCTACAGACAACTTTTAAAATAACTTTATTTGAGGTCAGATCCAACAGCAAATAATGTTTCACTACCCGATTTGAATTACCCTTACCAAATGAGTGTAAACATCGAATTTGAATGGAAAATATAAGAAAGATTATTAGCTAAATTATACTGGCAACAATAAAAAGTTTATGGCCCATCAGTTTCATGGTTTTAAATGCCTAACAATGTCTTTAGAACGTTTAAATTGGCCACATGTGGTGAAAAGAATGCATGGGAAAGTACTGTAATCAGAAAATGTGATTTTATTCATTTATTTAAGCCTTTAGGCTTTAAACATATTTTCGGATAAAATGATTGCCAACCATGACCTGAAAATTTTTGACTGTCCATGGGTAGGCTATACCTAAAAGATGTGAAACATGCCCCCGCAGGTGAGGAATGATTATGCATCGAGAGAAGGCATCGTGACACTGGTCCCAATTTCGATGTCTACGCGATCTATGGCCGACTCTGTGATGCTGAGTGGCCATGTGACAGTTCAGTGCGCGTGCATTTCGACCTCCCATGCTCACAGCCGCCCTCCTGCCGACATTCTAAATGGAACGCGGTCTACTAATGTTATACCTCTGTCAGGCCGACGTTGGCGAGATGTACAGTATGTGCGCTGTCTGGGTATACATGTAGACCCATCTTTGTTTCATTTGAAATCTTTTCATTGGGAATCAATGGATCTTTTTCTGGCGCTAACATTAGTTTTCCCCAAAGAGGAATGAAGTCATATACAATTAGTCTGCAGATTTTTATACTCACAGTGGTGTTCAGCAGCAGTAGACCTTGAGCTCTGTGAAAGTGACCTCCCTAAGGTGACACTCATTACCCATTCCTCTCCGCACCTCCCTCCCTCCGGCCCTCTCTTCTCTTCTCTTCCTCCCTCTCTCTCTATATCGGTGTGTGAAATGCCACAGACTCCCTCAGGGGAGCTTTACACACACAGCCACACCCATGTACGCACACACACACACACACACACACATACACTCCCACCCCCCCAACACACACACACTCTAACACCAACTACACAGATTAACACACAGAACAGAGGTCATCTGCCACCAAATTCAAGCGAGATCCCCAACCCCCCATTGACTCTTCCTCCCCAACCCCCCTATACCCCGGGTGGATGTAAGTCTGGGCTGAGACGTGCTCCAGGCTCCAGGGAGCAGAGCAGCTCTGACCCGACCCTCGCTGCTGACCTCGCCTTCTGCATTATTCACCAGCTCCCAGAGAGAACCGGAGAGGAGAGCAACCATAATTAATGCTGAGACACCACCATGCCTGGGCAGGATCTTCAGAAGATCTCTCTCCTCTCGCTGTCCAAGAGAGAATCAGTTGGAGGGCCGAGAGGGGGGCAAACTTGTTTGCATTTAATGGCTGCGGAGAAGGACTGCTTTGAATACTAGTGGCTCATTCTATAGATTGTGTTAGCAGGGCAGTACCGTGAGTCAAACTTTCTATACTGTACTTTCTGTAACTCCATCCATTGTTGTTGTTTTGTTATTTGCTGCCTCAAAAACATATTGCTGACATTGTTTCCGACAAGGGGTGAATTAGCATGTTACAAAACAGGAACAAGGAATTGGATCTGTTACTAACAAAGGAATGTCCTTGACTATATTGTCAACATGTCATCATCAGTTCCAGCAGATAAAAAGACAGTTTACTTTGTTATGATCATGCCAACGTGGGGTAGCTGAGTTCAGTAGTACTTTCATGATAACAGAAACTGCCTTTATAATAATAATAAAATATAAATATAATATGCCATTTAGCAGACGCTTTTATCCAAAGCGACTTACAGTCATGCGTGCAAATCTTTTTATTTTGTGTATGGGTGGTCCCGGGGATCGAACATTTACATTTACATTTTTATCATTTAGCAGACGCTCTTATCCAGAGCGACTTACAGTTAGTGAATACATGTTTATTTATTTTTATTTTTATTTTTTATTTTTTTATACTGCCCCCCCATGGGAATCGAACCCACAACCCTGGCGTTGCAAACGCCATGCTCTATGAACTGAGCTACATCCCTGCCGGCAATTCCCTCCCCTACCCAGGACGACGCTGGGCCAATTGTGCGCCGCCCATGAGTCTCCCGGTCGCGGCCGGCTACGACAGAGCCTGGATTCGAACCAGGATCTCTAGTGTCACAGTTAGCACTACCAGCACCGTGCTCTACCAGCTGAGCTACAGAGGACCACCCATATACTTCTTCACCAGGATATATGGTCACCCAATGAATAAATTAACATTTATAAATGCTGCCATACCTCTATAAAGATGAAAAATATAGGGCACCTTTCTGGAATGCCAACTGCTCTCATATTAAATGTCATCCAATTGTTGTGGAGTCATTTTCCAGTGATAATATTTGTCTAGAGAGTCACGGTGAGCAGCTATGACTGGTGCATATTTGCATTTATATTACATACAGGTTGGCTTGGCAGGCTAAATCAGGCCTTCTGTTTTTTTCATAGCTCTGTGTTGTAAGCTGGTTTGTCAACTTATTTACCTGACTCAACCCTGCCGTATTTGACAGCGTCAGCAGTTGGGTGGCGATAAAGTTATTTGGATTAGATTTAAACGCCTCTAAATGAGACACAGGACATAGAAGAGACTGAAGAGAATGCCAACATTAAGTACATTTTGTGCAAAACATGCAAATGTGCTTGTTATACACATGTATGGTCATACAGTGCCACTTGTGGTCAAAGTGCAGACAGACAATCAAGGCAATTAGGTTATTATGAAAACTCCCCCATGTTGGCATCATGCCTACTGCCTACACAGTTGTTTGTGTTGTCTCCTCCTTATTTCAAGGCCAAACATGCTTGTTCAACACACACCATACCAGGGACTATCATACTTTTGAATGTGACTCATTCTCCATTCTATTGGAGTTTATACTACACTAAGGAAAGTTTAAGCTTTTGTTTTGGGGTTTTTATGACACTAAGTCAACTCTTGCTCACACAGGAATGATGAAGGTGGGTGGTTAAATTACAGTTTGACAGAAATTTAAAATTATGTATGGTTATTTTATAATAGTGTTTGTTTTAACAGGGTCCCTGTTCCCAAGCTTATGTGAATAATGACTAATAGTATTTCTCCACAGCAGAGACCCAGATATGTCAAGTACTGTCAATGTGAGCCACTGACCAAAAGTTCATTTTCTCGTAGCAGAATTCTCTCTCATTTCTCCCTTGGTGATTCTCTGTAGAGGGGCTTGTCACATTGTGTATGCATGAAGGATGTTTTCCCCTGGAGTCTGGTGCCTCTGTGGTGCCAGGACAGGGAGGTTTCCTAGGAGGGGCTGAATGCTGGTAATGTCACAGCGACCCGGGAGTGTATCAAGGGTGTCGAGGGACACGAGGTGAAGTCATCTAAAAGTGTCTGACACACTGGGATGCCTGACACCTCCCAGTTCTATGTTGGTGAAAAATACGAACGAATAAACGTGTGTGTGTTTGTGTGTGTGTGTGTGTGTGTGTGTGTGTGTGTGTGTGTGTGTGTGTGTGTGAGTGTGTACATGAGTGTGCCTGTATGTGTGTGTGTTTTTCCTCTCCGACAGTTTGCAGGTCATATAATTGAGCAAACAAGGTTTTTGATGTAAAATAAATGTTCACAAAAATCCAGAAAATCACATTGTAGGATTTTTTATGAATTTATTTGCAAATTATGGTGGAAAATAAGTATTTGGTCAATAACAAACGTTTCTCAATAGTTTGTTATATACCCTTTGTTGGCAATGACACAGGTCAAACGTTTTCTGTAAGTCTTCACAAGGTTTTCACACACTGTTGCTGGTATTTTGGCCCATTCCTCCATGCAGATCTCCTCTAGAGCAGTGATGTTTTGGGGCTGTCGCTGGGCAACACGGACTTTCAACTCCCTCCAAAGATTTTCTATGGGGTTGAGATCTGGAGACTGGCTAGGCCACTCCAGGACCTTGAAATGCTTCTTTCGAAGCCACTCCTTCGTTGCCCGGGCGGTGTGTTTGGGATCATTGTCATGCTGAAAGACCCAGCCACGTTTCATCTTCAATGCCCTTGCTGATGGAAGGAGGTTTTCACTCAAAATCTCACGATACATGGCCCCATTCATTCTTTCCTTTACACGGATCAGTCGTCCTGGTCCCTTTGCAGAAAAACAGCCCCAAAGCATGATGTTTCCACCCCCATGCTTCACAGTAGGTATGGTGTTCTTTGGATGCAACTCAGCATTCTTTGTCCTCCAAACACGACGAGTTGAGTTTTTACCAAAAAGTTATATTTTGGTTTCATCTGACCATATGACATTCTCCCAATCCTCTTCTGGATCATCCAAATGCACTCTAGCAAACTTCAGACGGGCCTGGACATGTACTGGCTTAAGCAGGGGGACACGTCTGGCACTGCAGGATTTGAGTGCCTGGCGGCGTAGTGTGTTACTGATGGTAGGCTTTGTTACTTTGGTCCCAGCTCTCTGCAGGTCATTCACTAGGTCCCCCCGTGTGGTTCTGGGATTTTTGCTCACCGTTCTTGTGATCATTTTGACCCCACGGGATGAGATCTTGCGTGGAGCTCCAGATCTAGGGAGATTATCAATGTCTTCCATTTCCTAATAATTGCTCCCACAGTTGATTTCTTCAAACCAAGCTGCTTACCTATTGCAGATTCAGTCTTCCCAGCCTGGTGCAGGTCTACAATTTTGTTTCTGGTGTCCTTTGACAGCTCTTTGGTCTTGGCCATGGTGGAGTTTGGAGTGTGACTGTTTGAGGTTGTGGACAGGTGTCTTTTATACTGATAACAAGTTCAAACAGGTGCCATTAATACAGGTAACGAGTGGAGGACAGAGGAGCCTCTTAAAGAAGAAGTTACAGGTCTATGAGAGCCAGAAATCTTGCTTGTTTGTAGGTGACCAAATACTTATTTTCCACCATAATTTGCAAATAAATTCATTAAAAATCCTACAATGTGATTTTCTGGATTTTTTTCTCTCTCAATTTGTCTGTCATAGTTGACGTGTACCTATGATGAAAATTACAGGCCTCTCTCATCTTTTTAAGTGGGAGAACTTGCACAATTGGTGGCTGACTAAATACTTTTTTCCCCCACTGTATGGTATGGATATGGTATGGATATATGTGTGGTATGACATGGAAAACGAATCGATGCAATCTTAGGTCAATCTTTTAATGCTCAATTCAGAATTCCCCAGAATGTATTCAAAATGTTAATCTAAAACACCTGACTGAGTAGCAAATAACACAATACCTATGAGAAGGCAAAATATCTGAGCCAAAAATACAAAAATAAAATATTTATCCATGATTTTGCTACTGAAATCTGTGAGCCATAGACCTACTTTAGCAGCTTGGAAAATAAGAAAACATTTCCTGTCTGTGTGTTGTGGTTTTCCTTCATACACATTTTGGGATTAACATAGATGAATAGGTGTATATTTTTCTTGGAACGTTTCAAGGACCAGGTTTTTGAGCTCTGTTCAAGTGCTTTGAGGCAGCAGGGATTTAGGAAACGTTTCTCAGCATCACCTATTTGAAATATAAACAATGCCTCAGGGCAAGAAACACAGCAGGTGGATTTTTACTGAGGTGCAGAAGAGGTGCAGAACAGCTCAACACTGACTCACCACCCCAGGTCTTATTGTGAGCTGGCTAATTGACAGTTGCAAACAGTTCTCTTCTCCTTTACTCACACACTATCCAGTGTGAACTAACCTAGGCCTTTGTAGTCTTTTCAAGTAAGACTTTCATTTTGCTCAACACATGATTGACAAGATCTCCAGAGAAAATGGTTAATTGCCTACTGATATGAAAGCAAAACAAATCTTATTTATGTTATCACAGCCCAACACCAATGTCACACATTTATCAGCTTTTTTATAGAGCACACCACACGTGCTGAACCCTTTGCCAATGTGTGCCACGGGGGTCCAGTGATGCTCTAGAAATAACTTTTTTTTTTACAGGAGCAACATAATTTTATCCATGTAGGTCCTTTCCCCCTGCAGCAGCTGTCTTATCTGGAGATGAAAGAACAGTATCAGTGTAAACACTGCAGCGCTATCAAACCCATCAAACAGACACCTCAAACAATAATTATACGCTTTGCTGAAGTCAACTTTCCACTCCTTGTTTATGTGGAGGCAGGAACTCACGAAACACTTGTTTTGGAGGCTCAGAAAGCAGGTAATGCCCACCAAGCGTGTCATCAGGCTAACCGGTTCAGTGAGTGAAACAAACCCTTGGGTGTTGACGCACCTGTGGTCAACACTGTCTGTCGTGACACACACTAACACACACAACATGTTTTCATATACTTGGAAACAAACTTATCTCAAAGCTCCAAGCAGTAGGTATACTGTACCTACAGTAAGTTTTCCCTCTCTTAGGTTTTGAAGTTTTGAGAGAGGAATGCTTCTCTGGCGGGTCTAAAAATAAGCTTGCATTACCAACAGTCATTCACAGTCAACTATAAAGATGCTATGTGCTATGTTGGCTTCAGAGTTCCATAGGTCCCTCAGAACCTCTATTCTATTTCCAGAGTGGATGGCAGGAAGGAGGGAAGGAAGGGGGGTAACTACATTTAAAACACTTCAGAGCTCATTAACAGAAAGCATAATTCCAGGAAACACATAAGACACATATTGCCGTATTTAAAACCAATATGGTGGTAAGTGACTTTGAGTCTCAACCATGCAAGGTTATTTATATCAGCTTAAGGTCAGATGAGTTGAATCCTCTCTCTCCAGGAGTAAGAAGTGGTTTCCTCTCTCTGGAGCTGCTGATTTGTCAGGATCTAGCACGTCCTGTGAGGTCATAGGGACCAAATATTAAAGGAAGGAAGAAAGAAAGTGGAGCTTCATCACTTCCTGTCATTACCCAGGTCATACGTGCGATGAGAAACAGTCTGTCCGTTGTCGCTCTCTAGAAGGGATGTCCACCCTGTCCGTGACCACCTCTACTCTCTGATTAAACTGCAATCTAACAATTCCTCTGGCATGAAGCCAGAAAACATACCTTAATTTAAACAGAGTTTCAATAATAACCCTCAGCAGTACCAAAATAGCCTGGAAGGAAATGACAACCAATTTTGTCCACCCATAAGCCACATACAGTATAAAGGTATTTACATAAGAATGCATGGGAACTAATGGAGAGTGTTACAGGTTGCTGTGGTGTGATGACCTGTCATACAGACATACCCTCGCTCTCTCCCTAACCTCAGAACCCTGTGTTTGGAACCGCTCAGCGTGGTAGTGAAGCTTTACAATAACAGAGTGAGCAGAGTGAGCGTGCTCCACAGCGACTGCTGTGACTTTGACCCAGGAGGTCATTATTTCCAACACATCTGAATCTGACATCACATCTGACTGAGGATACCCGGGCTGGGCTGCTGAGAGAAACTCTGCTCTGAAGGCGTGGAGTAAAAATAGAATAGTGCTTTATGAACCATTCTTTAATGTGAGATTTGGGGGACAATGTGTTTTATTTGGAATTGGTTGATGTGGAACTTTATGAAGTCACAGGCCTTAATGGATGTGGCACTTCTCAAATCCAAATCAAATCAAATTTTATTTGCCACATGCGCCGAATACAACAGGTGTAGACCTTACAGTGAAATGCTTACTTACAAGCCCTTAACCAACAATGCAGTTTTTAAGAAAAGAAAAAAAAAGTGTTAAGTAAAAAATTGATAAGTAAAAAATGAAAAATAGCAAATAATTAAAGAGCAGCAGTAAAATAAAAGAATAGTATGGAGGCTATATACAGGGGGTACAGGTACAGAGTCAATGTGCGGGGGCACCGGTTAGTCGAGGTAATTGAGGTAATGGGTAATGGGTAGAGTTAAAGTGACTATGCATGAATAATAAACAGAGTACCAGCAGCGTAAAAGAGCGGGTTGGGGTGGGTTGGGGTGGGGGTAGCCATGATTAGCTGTTCAGGAGTCTCATGGCTTGGGGGTAGAAGCTGTTAAGAAGCCTTTTGGACCTAGACTTGGTGCTCCGGTACCGCTTGCCGTGTGGTAGCAGAGAGAACAGGCTATGTCTAGGGTGGCTGGAGTCTTTGAACATTTTTAGGGCCTTCCTCTGACACCGCCTGGTATAGAGGTCCTGGATGGCAGGAAGCTTGGCCCCAGTGATGTACTGGGCCGTACACACTACCCTCTGTAGTGCCTTGCAGTCGGAGGCCGAGCAGTTGCCATACCAGGCGGTGATGCAACCAGTCAGGATGCTCTCGATGGTGCAGCTGTTTGAGGATCTGAGGACCCATGCCAAATCTTTTCAGTCTCCTGAGGGGGAATAGGCTTTGTCGTGCCCTCTTCACGACTGTCTTGTTGTGTTTGGACCATGATAGTTCGTTGGTGATGTGGACACCAAGGAACTTGAAGGTCTCAAACTGTTCCACTACAGCCCCGTCGATGAGAATGGGGGCGTGCTCAGTCCTCTTTTTTTCCCTGTCTACAATAATCTGTCTTGATCACATTGAGGGAGAGGTTGTTATCCTGGCACCACACGGCCAGGTCTCTGACCTCCTCCCTATAGGCTGTCTCATCTTTGTCGGTGATCAGGCCTACCACTGTTGTGTGTTGTGTCGTCGGCAAACTTAATGATGGTGTTGGAGTCGTGCCTGGCCATGCAGCCATGGGTGAACAGCGAGTACAGGAGGGGACTGAGCACACACCCCTGAGGGGCCCCCGTGTTGAGGATCAGCGTGGCAGATGTGTTGTTATCTACCCTTACCACCTGGGGGTGGCCCGTCAGGAAGTCCAGGATCCAGTTGCAGAGGGAGGTGTTTAGTCCCAGGGTCCTTAGCTCAGTGATGAGCTTTGAGGGCACTATGGTGTTGAACGCTGAGCTGTAGTCAATGAATAGCATTCTCATGTAGGTGTTCCTCTTGTCCAGATGGGAAAGGGCAGTGTGGAGTGCAATAGAGATGGCATCATCTGTGGATCTGTTGGGGCGGTATGCAAATTGGAGTGGGTCTAGGGTTTCTGGGATAATGGTGTTGATGTGAGCCATGACCAGCCTTTCAAAGCACTTCATGGCTACAGACGTGAGTGCTACGAGTCGGTAGTCATTTAGGCAGGTTATCTTAGTGTTCTTGGGCACAAGGACTATGGTGGTCTGCTTGAAACATGTTGGTATTACAGACTCAGTCAGGGACATGTTGAAAATCTCAGTGAAGACACTTGCCAGTTGTCAGCGCATGCTCGGAGTACACGTCCTGGTAATCCGTCTGGCCCTGCGGCCTTGTGAATGTTGACCTACTTAAAAGTCGGCTACGGAGAGCGTGATCACATAGTCATCCGGAACAGCTGATGCTCTCGTGCATGCTTCAGTGTTGCTTGCCTCGAAGCGAGCATAGAAATGATTTAGCTCGCCTGGTAGGCTTGTGTCACTGGGCAGCTCGCGGCTGTGCTTCCCTTTGTAGTCTGTAATAGTTTTCAAGCCCTGCCACATCCGACGAGCATCAGAGCCGGTGTAGTACGATTCAATCTTAGACCTATATTGACTCTTTGCCTGTTTGATGGTTAGTCGGAGGGCATTTCTTATAAGAGTCCGGGTTAGAGTCCCACTCCTTGAACGCGGCAGCTCTACCCTTTAGCTCAGTGCGGATGTTGCCTGTAATCCATAGCTTCTGGTTGGGGTATGTACGTACGGTCACTGTGGAGACGACGTCATCGATGCACTTATTGATGAAGCCAGTGACTGATGTGGTGTACTCCTCAATGCTAACAGTCCTGTAGCTTAGCATCTGCGTCATCTGACCACTTCCTTATTAACCGAGTCACTGGTGCTTCCTGCTTTAGTTTTTGCTTATAAGCAGGAATCAGAAGGATAGAGTTATGGTCTTTTTTTTTCCACAAGTTGCATTGTCAACTGGGATGGAAAACTTTCACCTGACTGGCTCCTTGAGTGTAATTCATCATGAAATTCCCTGCCTGAAACGGACCTGTTGGCATCATAGAGTATTACTATTCTTTGAAGAGCATCTTCCACCCCAAGCAAGCACATCTCCAACATCACTACTACATCACAAGATGGCTGCCAAAAATATGTCAGAGTGCTGCAAAAAGAGCACTGGGAACTCATCCCCAGGGTATTGCCATTGCCAGAGAGTCTTTCTGTTCAACAGCCAGCTAGCATGCTCCATTTGTGGTTGCATTGTCTCTGTCCCTGGATTTTGTTGTTTGGGCTGTTGTCACAGATGAGAGCCCCTGTAGCTATGGTACATATAAGTCCCATTGACCTGCAGTCTTGAGGCCATTGATTGACTTGATGAACACTGTCTTGGTAATGGGACTTAGAGCCTTTGGGCAGGCTTCAATGTTCTGTTCTGAGTGTTCTACCGGTCACGTCAAACTTTAAGTGGATATAAGAGCATTTATCGGTAAAACGGTACATTACCTTAAGCACCTAATGTGTGCTTATGATGTAAGGCCTTTGTCTCAGGTCTTCTAATATTATTAGAAGATCTGAGACAAAGGCCTTACAACAGAAGAACATTTACTTGTGAAAGACTAAAGCCACTCAGATGGCATGTAATATGTGTTTTATTCCCATACTGTAACAATCTGGTTGCCACTCCTGTATTCCATTTCCATACAGTCTTTGCCAGACGTGATTGATGTCGTTGGTTAAGGGGTATGGTGGACTGACTATCTGCTTGTTTGGTGGCTCACACACCATTCAGTGGTTTCTACTGTTGACTTTGTGGGTAGAGCACATGGGTAAACATGTCTTCATTGAAAACACAACCAGATGCTCCACCACTGAATGACATACAACCTCTTCACGGAGGAGTTCACTTCTTGACTCATGCAAGGAGTAGATCTTAATGGAAGTGTAAATAGTCTCTGCTGACCTCAGGTTTTTTTGAACGACAGTAAAGATCAGTTGTGGAAAGGGTAAATAGGCTTTTCTGATTACACCCAGTTGGTATTGTTTCCTTTGAGTTGTTACACCAATGTCCCTTCTGTCTGCCACCAACCAGTCTTCATACTCATACCCCTTCATTATAGATACTGTATAGTTTCACCCTCGGATAAAATACACATTTAGTATGTTCTCAAGAAAGATAGGATAATTGTCAGTGACAACCAGAGAGATCACAAAGAATAAATGGCCCAAAAACTAAGGCAAAATTATGTAAAATATTACAGTGGGTTAGCAGGAAATAAGTGCACCAGTGGAGGCTCCTCTGAGGAGGAAATGGAGGACCATCCTCCTCAGTGAATTATATAAAAATTAAAATAGTGAAACATAAAAAAAGTTATATTTTTTAGATAAAACTATACTAAATATGTTCACGTCACCAAATAATTGATTAAAACAGACTTGGAGTTTTTTTCACTTTCACTTTCACTTACTTAGCTAGTGAATGCAGCTAGCTAGTTTAGCCTACTCAAACACCCGGCTCAAACAGAGAGGGATGCTATGTTAGCTAGCTGGCTATGGCTATCCAACACTGGAACTCTTCCAAGTCAAGGTAAGCTTTTTATTTTATTAATTTATTGCCACCGGGGCCAACCGGTGTAACTGCTTAACTGCTTGCTGACTGTACACTGCACTGCATGTGTACAGTCAGTTCTAGTAGCTATGTTGACTATGACATTAGCAAATCTTGTGACAACGATGTAGGCTGTGTGTAGCAGTTAGCGGTTATGATGGTTTGGCTTGGAAAGGATTTTTCGCCTGGTCACAGAAAGCTGATGTGTTGTGCACTGAAGTCCACAAGTGAAGGGAAAAGGTGAGAGGAGGAAAGTGCGTAGATGTGAGAAAGAATACAACGAGCAAAGTGATCATGCTGTTTGTATGTGGCTGCTATGAAAGTGAACTGTGTTTGCGTGTGATCAGGGGTGTATTTATTCCACCGATTCTGTTGAAAAACCTTTTTTAACATAACGAAAAGGGAATAAACATACCTGAATTTGTCCAATAGAAACTGAATTTGTCCAATACACCCTAGATCAGCTAGATGCAGGCAGGAGTGTGCAAGGTGGTATTGAATGTGTAACTGTCTGTCACCTTGATTACAAAACAAAATCTCTCGACCTGTGCACCTACGTTGTAAACTTTAATTCATAGGCTAGGATGTAGTAACCTCATGATGGGTATAGGGAACATTTGAGTATCATGTAGTAGCCTAAACCTATCGATGTAATATTGAGCTGGGGGAATGGAATATGAATGACAGTCATCCAATATGCTTTAATAGAAATAAGGCCATGTTCATAAACTAAATAATCGTCCTCCCTCATCTTAAACGGCACCGACCGCCACTGAAGTGCACTCACTCACAGACACATTACGATAGGTCATGCTAAGCCACTGGGCATCCCTGCCCTTTATTGTTGAGGAGAGAGAAATATACACACTCTGGGGGTTGGCTGGTCATGGTTGTGGTTTTACATTCCCTGCTTCTTGAGGCAGTGCCAACCCTGTAGGTCAGTGGTGCCAACACTATTGGCAACAAACAAAGCCCATTAAAAAGATAGACAATGATAGCATCAATTGGCATTAACAGCTTCCAGACAAGGCTTAAGAGACTGGAAGATGGACTGCCAGACACTGGGTGCCAACCAGGGAAGGTGTTGGCATGGTCCCCAACTGGAGGGCCACTAGGGAGAGAGGGGAAACAGGGGACCAGATGGGTCTAGAGATAGCAGAGCCTTTAGGTATGAGCACAGCGCAGCCTGAGGACCCAGCATATGGAGAGAGTAAATGAGAGAGGAGAGCAGAGTGACAGAGCCAAGCTACACACATAGATCCTGGATGAGATGTGGACACTGCTCGACAGACAACTGAAAAGACTACATGGGGCTCACTGTGGCTCGGTAGGTAAGTGTTCATTGGAAAATCTCACTAGCAAAGGTTCTGGACTCCGGAGACCCACCACATCGTAGAAGCTTGGTGAAGTGTCTCCATCACACGTCCTGTTTATAGAGTGATGCATGTGCAATCAACTTCAAATTAGCACCGTCCAGTTTAGGCTACAATAAGTGTAGGTAATCACAAGAAGAAAATCACATTAAAGACCAATCACACTTGGTCCTCTAGTGTAAAGCGATTGCTACTTAAAGAGCTCAACAGTACAATGTTTCACCTCACTAGACATGCTTATATTCATGTCGTTCTAGAGTATACCTCAAGTGTCTCATGCAATTACAGTCAAGCTGTACTCTCTAATGTTTAAAAGGGGAATATGCTCTCAGTACAGTCAGAACAATATACAAAACATAATTCCTGCTCTCTGGCTCAGACCAAATGTCTGATTCAATTATGACTGAATTAAACAATAGAAAGAATAACATGCCTGAGGTTTTAGTCAGTATTCACATTACGAAAGGAAGTGTTTACTTGGCTATGATTTGCTCTGTACAGGGAATTGTGTAACATGTCACTTGTGCTGTGTTAAAACACAAACTGGATTTGACTGGATTTAACAGTTGAGAGGACAGAGACAGTTGAACGTATTTCCATGATATTTCTGATTAACATAACTTTATTTTTTTTAACGTATACGCAGGGAGTCAGGAAACAGCTGCAGAAGGTGAGTTTTATAATCATCATCATCATCATGATGATGATGATGATGATGATGATGATGTTAAACAGGACACACGTACTGAACGTAACCAAAAAAACAATACTGCCTGATGGCTGAGGCTTACTGAGGGCTATATGAAGGGAGAGTAATCAGAGGGGTGATGAAGTCCAGGTGTGCTTAACGATGGGGAGCAGGTGTGTGCAATGATGTTTGCCAGGTGTGCACAATGTGGGTTGCCAGGACCGGTGGTTAGTAGACCGGCGACGTTGAGCGCCGGAGTGGAGGAGCGGGAGTAGACGTGACATTTTTTAAGACCAACTACCTGCCATGCACCTTTAAAGCTCTTAACACTGAGCAACTTGTATCTTTACAGGCATCAGTTGTCTTGTAATCTATTATTGAATTAAATATTCTTCAAACAGACAGTTGAGTAAGGTTGAGGAGAGCAGAGGTGTCATACCCATAGGGGGCACAAGGGCACGTGCCCCCTCAGATTTGTCCTGTTTAAAACAACAACAACAACAAAATGTGTTCGCTTTTGTTGTTTCTCTGTAATAATACTAGTCACCTAGCAATTTCATGAAGTTGTCTTTTGCTAGCCCAGTTAGGTTCCCAATCTCCCAACCTCATAACTAGCTACCAAGAAACCATTTCAGGCTATCAATCAAGTTAGAGTAGCTAGCTTGTCTAGCTATCTTAAAAGCTCAGACACACGGGAAGGATTGTCAAACGTTTGCCTGCTGACAGTCTTAACACCTCTGAACAGAATGTTGGCAGTCAATCTCTTTTGCGTTCACACAGCAAAGACCTTGGAAGTACTCCAAACCAGAAGGTGGCAGTAGCATTGTTTGGCAATGCATATCCGTGCGTATTGCTTATGGTCTAGATTCCAAGCTATCTGTGCTAATGTTACTATTTTGTAGAAAGCCCTTGTTGATACTAGCCAGATGGCCACAGCTAGATAACTACCTAGCAAGATGACGAAGAAACAATTTAATTCACTCTCCATAATCCCATACTGCCAGTGCCAGCCTATAGCCAAATGTTTAGCTAGCTACCTAACGTTAGCATATTTGCTAGCTAGCACAACATAGCTAGCTAGCTAAGGACACTGCACTAACTCAGCAGCTAAACCAGGCAGCTGTTTTATGGAAACTAGCTAATCCATTGTGATTTAAAGTCCTTAAGAGTGTATTCACGCACTCGTGTGTCAATCTAATTAACATAATAAAACAATCCCCATCAAAATCTGTGAGTTTAAGCTAGAGATATGTTTTTTTTGCATGGGTTGTGTCTCAATCCACCGCATCTGCCTATGTCAGCCTTCCGCATCTGTGGTGGAAAGTGGCAGAGCTACAGTGCAGTTTGTCAGACCAGGAGACATCCCGAAAATCGGTCTTCTCATCAAAACGTCTGTAGTGTCCAAATGGTTTGGCTTAGTAACTAATATGACCACTCTATGGAAAGATGAGACTCTCACGAAGCCCCATGGGACTCATCTGAAGTCAGTACCTCCGATGTGCCAACTTCTGTCTGTAGCTTCCGAACCGTTTGGGCTACAAACTAATATGGGCTATAGTAGTAAAGGCCAAATGCAATATGTTATCAAATATATGTATATATATTTTTTATTACATTTACAGGGGTCCTAAAATTCCAAATCAAATAGCTAAATGATCCATGGTATGAACATCTTAAAACAATTCCATATGTTAGCTTAGTAGAACCCCCTCCCCAAAGGCTTAGACTTTTAGAGGTATTTAATTATAATGTCAATGTCAGCTACAGTGGTTAGCTAGCTTGGAGGAAGTATTTAGTGTTGTATGCATTGTGTCTGTGCACTTAACTAGCTACCATGCCATAGCTTACATTCCATATGAAGTGTGACTGGCTCACCTGTGGATGTACGGAGAAAATGCCCTATTTTTTTCCTTTTTATTTGTTGGCTTCCCCCATGTGGGGGTTCGTGCTCTCTGATTGGTTGAATGTCACGTTGTTGGCCACTGACGAGCATTGTGATTCTACAAGTAGAATCGGTAGGTTCATCACTACCAAGTGGACACGCTTTTGTTCTAGCAAGAGAAGGAATGGCCTCCCACTGTGATAAGTACCTATCAGCAGTCTATCGGCAGTGAGATTCTTGGTGTTTTTCATGCTTTAGCTGGCGTGCCTGCTGGCAAGGTTGGTAGACTTTAGAAAAGCAAGCAATAACTAAATGTACTGAATAAGACTCACATTCCTTTCAATCTTTTACCCAGATTTTAGAAGAGATGCAAAGAAGCCTATTTAGTTTCTTTAAAAAAAGAATCACCAGTCAGAAGGATACAGACAGCTCAAGAAGCATGGTTAGATATGCGGAAAAATAAACATACATTAATTTTTGTCATAGAATTAAGCATAATGAATATGGCTCTAGATTGCAGGAAAAAGCTGTTTCGGGTGTTAGAAAAATAGACCCCTCCGGACCACCCCCCAGCCATCCTCACGTACTTGCTGCCCCCTCAGATTGTGCGGTTGCATGACGCCCCTGGGGGAGATAATCAGAAAAAGTTCATAAACAAGCATTTGGGCTTCTCTCCAGAATTGTGGGATGTATCAAATCAAATACATTTTTATTTGTCACATGCGCCGAATACAACAGGTGTAGACCTTACAGTGAAATGCTTACTTACAAGCCCTTGACCAACAATGCATTTTTAAGAAAAATAAGTGTTAAGTAAAAAATAAGAAAAATAAATACAAAATAAAAAATAATTAAAGAGCAGCAGTAAAATAACAGTAGTGAGGCTATATACAGGGGGTACCGGTACAGAGTCAATGTGCGGGGGCACAGGTTAGTCGAGGTAATTGAGGTAATATGTACATGTAGGTAGAGTTAAAGTGACTATAAATAGATAATAAAAAGAGAGTGGCAGCAGCATAAAAAAGGGGGTAGCCATTTGATTAGCTGTTCAGGGTCTTATGGCTTGCAGGAAGAAGCTGTTAAGAAGCCTTTTGGACCTAGACTTGGTGCTCCGGTACCGCTTGCCGTGCGGTAGCAGAGAGAACAGTCTATGACTAGGGTAGCTGGAGTCTTTGACAATCTTTAGTACCTTCCTCTGACACCGCCTGGTTTAGAGGTCCTGGATGGCAGGAAGCTTGGTCCCAGTGATGTACTGGGCCGTACGCACTACCCTCTGTAGTGCCTTGCGGTTTGAGGCCGCGCAGTTGCCATACCAGGCGGTGATGCAACCAGTCAAGATGCTCTGGATGGTGCAGCTGTAGAACTCTATGAGGATCTGAGGACCCATGCCAAATCTTTTCAGGCACCACACGGCCAGGTCTCTGACCTCCTCCCTATAGGCTGTCTCATCGTTGTCGGTGACCAGGCCTACCACTGTTATGTCGTCTTCAAACTTAATGATGGTGTTGGAGTCGTGCCTGGCCATGCAGTCATGGGTGAACAGGGAGTACAGGAGGGGACTGAGCACACACCCCTGAGGGGCCCCCGTGTTGAGGATCAGCGTGGCAGATATGTTGTTACCTACCCTTACCACCTGGGGGTGGCCCATCAGGAAGTCCAGGATCCAGTTGCAGAGGGAGGTGTTTAGTCTCAGGGTCCTTAGCTTAGTGATGAGCTTTGAGGGCACTATGGTGTTGAACGCTGAGCTGTAGTCAATGAATAGCATTCTCACGTCGGTGTTCCTTTTGTCCAGGTGGGAAAGGGCAGTGTGGAGTGCAATAGAGATTGCATCATCTGTGGATCTGTTGGGACGATATGCAAATTGGAGTGGGTCTAGGGTTTCTGGGATAATGGTGTTGATGTGCGCCATGACCAGCCTTTCACAGCACTTCATGGCTACAGACGTGAGTGCTACGGGTCTGTAGTCATTTAGGCAGGTTACATTAGTGTTCTTGGGCAAGGGACTATGGTGGTCTGCTTGAAACATGTTGGTATTAAAGACTCAGTCAGGGAGAGGTTGAAAATATCAGTGAAGACACTTGCAAGTTGGTCAGCGCATGCTCGGAGTACGCATGCTCGGAGTACACGTCCTGGTAATCCGTCTGGCCCTGCAGCCTTGTGAATGTTGACCTGTTTAAAGGTTTTACTCAAATCGGCTACGGAGAGCGTGATCACGCAGTCGTCCGGAACAGCTGATGCTCTCTTGCATGCTTCAGTGTTGCTTGCCTCAAAGTGAGCATAGAAGTAATTTAGCTCGTCTGGTAGGCTTGTGTCACTGGGCAGCTCGAGGCTGTGCTTCCCTTTGTAGTCTGTAATAGTTTGCAAGCCCTGCCACATCCGACGAACGTCGGAGCCGGTGTTGTGCGATTCAATCTTAGTCCTGTATTGACACTTTCCCTGATGGTTCGTCGGAGGGCATAGAGGGATTTCTTATAAGTGTCCGGGTTAGAGTCCCGCTCCTTGAAAGCACCAACTCTACCCTTTAGCGCAGTGCGGATGTTGCCTGTAATCCATGGCTTCTGGTTGGGGTATGTACGTATGGTCACTGTGGGGACGAAGTCATCGATGAAGCCAGTGACTGATGTAGTGTACTCCTCAATGCCATCGGAAGAATCCCGGAACATATTCCAGTCTGTGCTAGCAAAACAGTCCTGTAGCTTAGCATCTGCGTCATCTGACCACTTTTTTATTGACTGAGTCACTGGTGCTTCCTGCTTTAGTTTAGACTTGTAAGCAGGAATCAGGAGGATTGAATTATGCTCAGATTTGCCAAATGGAGGGCGAGGCAGAGCTTTGTTCGCGTCTCTGTGTGTGGAGTAAAGGTGGTCTAGAGTTTATTTTCCTCTGGTTGCACATTTAACATGCTGGTAGAAATGAGGTCAAACAGATTTAAGTTTCCCTGCATTAAAGTCCCCGGCCACTAGGAGCGCTGCCTCTGGATGAGCGTTTTTCTGTTTGCTTATGGCCTTATACATCTCATTGAGTGAAGTCTTAGTGCCAGCATCGGTTTGTGGTGATAAATAGACAGCTACGAAAAATATAGATGAAAACTCTCTTGGTAAATTGTGTGGTCTACAGCTTGTCATGAGATACTCTACCTCAGGCGAGCAAAACCTAGAGACTTCCTTAATATTACATTTCGTGCACCAGCTGTTGTTTACAAATATACACAGACCGCCACCCCTTGTCTTACCGGAGGCGGCTGTTCTATCTTGCCAATGCAGCGTAAACCCTGCCAGCTGTATGTTATCCATGTTGTCTTTCAGCCACGACTAGGTGAAACATAATATTTTACAGTTTTTAATGTACTGTTGGTAGGATATTCGTGATCGTAGCTCGTCTATTTTGTCATCCAATGATTGTACGTTGGCTAATAGGACTGATGGTAGAGGCAGATTACCCACTCGGCGTCGGATCCTTACAAGGCACCCCGACCTACGTCCCCGATATCTCTGTCTCTTTCTCCTGCGAATGATGGGGATGTGGGCCTTGTCGGGTGTCTGAAGTAAATCCTTCGCGTCCGACTCGTTAAAGAAAAAATCTTTGTCCAGTACGAGGTGAGTAATCGCTGTCCTGATATCCAGAAGCTCTTTTAGGTCATAAGAGACAGTGGCAGAAACATTATGTACAAAATAAGTTACAAATAACGCGAAGAAACACACACAATATCACAATTGGTTAGGAGCCCGTAAAACAGCAGCCATCTCCTCCGGTGCCATTATGTCCCAATATCAAGTCATTATACATTCTGGCAAATATCAAATATATTATTGGCACCCTTGCAATCTTCACCATTTCTTCCAAAATAAGTTGAATTCGATTTTTTTTTTATATGGTGTTCACACGTGTATTTGTTTGATTTACAACTGCACAGGACCAAAACAATATAAATGAAAATTGTGATTTTTCACTTCAAAGTCAAGAAATGGTTGGAGGCAAGTAATTCTAATTTATTGTGTATTTATCTCACCTGTGGTAATTTGCAGGTGCTTACAGAGTAAAAATAGCCATTTAACCAGTTTTGAAAAGAGAAAACAGAACATTCTGCTCCATTGCACTCCATTGTAAAGTGAAAGGGTGCCAATATATTTGACCGCAACAGTACGTATCAACTGTCTTTGTATAACGAGGTTGGTATGAGCCTTCAAACAATTATTTCTTTCCTAAATGGAAACAAATCTATATCCTTTAAGGATGCACTATGAAGCCTGTTACGCCAATTATCTCAGAGGGCTGTTTTTCTTTTGTCAGATTGGAATTGTTTCTCTCCACATCTTCAAGGTATATTCTGAGAGGTGCTTGTTACCATGGGGAGAACTCAATTGAAAATGCCTTCAGGGAAGGTTATTGTTCTAGAAGCCACAATAATTATTTGATGCATCATATTTCAAAGGAACAGCTATAGTGGCTTGCGAAAGTATTCACCCCCCTTGGCGTTGTTCCTATTTTGTTGCCTTACAACCAGGAATTAAAATTAATTTTTGGGGGGGGTTTGTATCATTTGATTTACACAACATGCCTACTACTTTGAAGATGCAAAATATTTTTGATTGTGCAACAAACAAGAAATAAGACAGAAAAACAGAAAACTTGAGCGTGCATAACTATTCACCCCCCACAAAACCAATACTTTGTAGAGCCACCTTTTGCAGCAATTACTGCTGCAAGTCTCTTGGGGTATGTCTCTACAAGTTTGGCACATCTAGCCACTGGGATTTTTTGCTTTTTGTCCATTCGTCAAGGCAAAACTGCTCCAGCTCCTTCAAGTTGGATGGGTTCCGCTGGTGTACAGCAATCTTTAAGTCACACCACAGATTTTCAATTAGATTGAGGTCTGGGCTTTGACTAGGCCATTCCAAGACATTTAAATGTTTCCCCTTAAACCACTCAAGTATTGCTTTAGCAGTATGCTTAGGGTCATTGTCCTGCTGGAAGATGAACCTCTGTCCCAGTCTCAAATCTCTGGAAGACTGAAACAGGTTTCCCTCAAGAATTTCCCTGTATTTAGCGCCATCCATCATTCCTTCAATTCTGACCAGTTTCACAGTCACTGTAGGGATGGTGTTCTCGGGGTGATGAGAGGTGTTGGGTTTGCGCCAGACATAGCATTTTCCTTGATGGCCAAAAAGTCTCATCTGACCAGAGTACCTTCTTGCATATGTTTGGGGAGTCTCCCACATGCCTTTTGGTGAACACCAAACGTGTTTGCTTATTTTGTTCTTTAAGTAATGGCTTTTTTATGGCAACTCTTCCGTAAAGCCCAGCTCTGTAAAGTGTACAGCTTAAAATTGTCCTATGGGCAGATACTCCAATCTCCGCTGTGGAGCTTTGCAGCTCCTTCAGGGTTATCGTTGGTCTCTTTGTTAACTCTCTGATTAATGCCCTCCTTGCCTGGTCCGTGAGTTTTGTTGGGCGGCCCTCTCTAGGCAGGTTTGTTGTGGTGCCATATTCTTTCCATTTTTTAATAATGGATTTAATGGTGCTCCGTGGGATGTTTAAAGTTTCAGATATTTTTTTATAACCCAACCCTGATCTGTATTTCTCCACAACTTTGTCCCTGACCTGTTTGGAGAGCTCCTTGGTCTTCATGGTGCCGCTTGCTTGGTGGTGCCCCTTTCTTAGTGGTGTTGCAGACTCTGGGGCCTTTCAGAACAGGTGTATATATACTGAGATCATGTCACAAATCATGTGACACTTAGATTGCACACAGGTGGACTTTATTTAACTAATTATGTGACTTCTGAAGGTAATTGGTTGCACCAGATCTTATTTAGGGGCTTCATAGCAAAGGTGGTGAATACATATGCACTCACGACGTTTCCGTTTTTTATGTTTTGGAATGTTTTGAAACAAGTTCTTTTTTTCATTTCACTTCACCAATTTGGACTATTTTGTGTATGTCCATTACATGAAATCCAAATAAAAATCTATTTAAATTACAGGTTGTAATGCAACAAAATAGGAAAAACACCAAGGGGGATGAATACTTTCGTGGTCAAACGTTTTGAGAATGACACAAGTATTGGTCTTCACAAAGTTTGCTGCTTCAGTGTTTTTAGATATTTTTGTCAGATGTTACTATGGTATACTGAAGTATAATTACAAGCATTCCATAAGTGTCAAAGGCTTTTATTGACAATTACATTAAGTTTATGCAAAGAGTCAATATTTGCAGCGTTGACCCTTCTTTTTCAAGACCTCTGCAATCCGCCCTGGCATGCTGTCAATTAACTTCTGGGCCACATCCTGACTGATGGCAGCCCATTCTTGCATAATCAATGCTTGGAGTTTGTCAGAATTTGTGGGTTTTTGTTTGTCCACCTGCCTCTTGAGGATTGACCACAAGTTCTCAATGGTGAGTGGTGCACTGCGATGCAGTGCTAGCTGTGCCACTAGAGATCCTGGTTCGAATCCAGGCTCTGTCGTAGCCGGCCGCAACCGGGAGACCCATGGGGCGGCGCACAATTGGCCCAGCGTCGTCCAGGGTATGGGAGGGAATGGCCGGCAGGGATGTAGCTCAGTTGGTAGAGCATGGTGTTTGCAACGCCAGGGTTGTGGGTTCGATTCCCACGGGGGGCCAGTATGAAAAATAAAAAAATAATGTATGCACTCAATAATGTAAGTCGCTCTGGATAAGAGCGTCTGCTAAATGACAAAACATGTAAAATGGATTAAGGTCTGGGGAGTTTCCTGGCCATGGACCCCAAATGTTGATGTTTTTTCCCCCGAGCCACTTAGTTATCACTTTTGCCTTATGGCAAGGTGCTCCATCATGCTGGAAAAGGCATTGTTCGTCACCAAACTGTTCGATGGTTGGGAGAAGTTGCTCTCAGAGGATGTGTTGGTACCATTCTTTATTCATGGCTGTGTTCTTAGGCAAAATTGTGAGTGAGCCCACTCCCTTGGCTGAGAAGCAACCCCACACATGAATGGTCTCAGGATGCTTTACTGTTGGCATGACACAGGACTGATGGTAGGGCTCACCTTGTCTTCTCCGGACAAGCTTTTTTCCGGATGCCCCAAATAATCAGAAAGGGGATTTATCAGAGAAAATGACTTTACCCCAGTCCTCAGCAGTCCAATCCCTGTACATTTTGCAGAATATCAGTCTGTCCCTGATGTTTTTCCTGGAGAGAAGTGGCTTCCTCGCTGCCCTTCTTGACACCAGGCCATCCTCCAAATGTATTCGCCTCACACCTGAGATGCACTCACACCTGTCTGCTGCCATTCCTGAGCAGGCTCTGCACTGGTGGTGCCCCGATCCCGCAGCTGAATCAACTTTAGGAGACGGTCCTGGCGCTTGCTGGACTTTCTTGGGCGCCCTGAAGCCTTCTTCACAATAATTGAACCTCTCTCCTTGAAGCTCTTGATGATCCGATACATGGTTGATTTAGGTGCAATCTTACTAGCAGCAATATCCTTGCCTGTGAAGCCCTTTTTGTGCAAAGCAATGATGACAGCATGTGTTTCCTTGCAGGTAACCATGGTTAACAGAGGAAGAATAATGATTTCAAGCACCACCCTCCTTTTAAAGCTTCCAGTCTGTTATTCTATCTCAATCAGCATGACAGAGTGATCTACAGTCTTGTCCTCGTCAACACTCTCACCTGTGTTAACGAGAGAATCACTGACATGATGTCAGCTGGTCCTTTTGTGGCAGGGCTGAAATGCAGTGGAAATGTTTTTTGGGGATTAAGTTCATTTTCATGGCAAAGAGGGACTGCAATTAATTGCAATTCATCTGATCACTCTTCATAACATTCTGGAGTATATGCAAATTGCCATCATAAAAACTGAGGCAGCAGACTTTGTGAAAATTAATATCTGTGTCATTCTCAAAACTTTTGACCACAACTGTACACGTTGATGGGAAAATTATCCAAACATCGGCACAGACGTCAGTTCAACGTCAATTTTTTATATACATTTGGTTGAGTTGTCAACTAATGTGATTTCAACGTGAAATCAATATAAAATGTCACAATGTCATTGGATTTACGTTAAAAGTTGGGTGAAAAAGAGACAATATTTCCTTCCGTTGATTACTTTTTGCAAATCCAATCAGTTTTCTATGTTGATTCAATGTCATCACATTGATCTTTTTGTTGTTGAAATGACATGGAAACAATGTTGATTCAACCAGTTTTTGCCCAGTGGGAATACTCTCATGGGCAAAAACAACAACATATTCCCCTGGAGGGAATTGTTTATGTCAACATCCTAGCATCTATTGACATAATTGTGAAACGTGGCAAAGAAAAATTTCTCTGAATGTGCTGCTGTGGTAAATCTCATATAGGAACATGTTTGGGATAAATAACTACTCTGATAAACATGTTTTTTTTTACACATTTTGTTTACTGGATGTACCTGTAAGATGGCTCTTGCTCTGAAGGGAGTGCCAGTTACCATTGGCAGAGGGGGGATGAGTTATGGAGAAGTTTCCACCTGAGAAGCAAAAGATAAGAGATTAGATGTTGGGCACTGGCAGTTGAGCAGTCAATGCTTATTTCTTACTGTAAATGTTACGTATTAGAGCACCCTCAACAGGCCAGAGAAAGAAGTACAGCCTGCCTATACATGGAGGTTGCCTGAAATTGAAGGTCAAATTGGAATTCTATGGACTTCAATGTATGGAAATGACTCATAGATAATGGTGTTTCAAAATGCAATTGAAGCCATTCTGAAATAATGAACCAATTAACCTCAACAGTTTCCACATTGTGTCAAAGCAAACCAAATAATTGGATGCATGCCAGTTGAAAATAGTTTTGAATTGATTCCTATTTTGCTTGTATGATCTTTATTCATTAATCTTCTGATAATGAGTTCAATTGTCACATGGCTTGAGTATTTTGTTTAATGTGTACTCTCTGTTTTTCTCTCCTGGTATATCAAGCCTATTTCCTATCTTAATTACTTTTACCAATACTTTGGAGGTCATCAATGAAATCTAATCCAGGGCCCATCAAATCAGGAATTAAACCCAGACACAGACTATTGATTCAGTTAATCCCAACAGAATCTCCAGAGCTAATATTCTGGGTTTTATTCTTAGCTGATTGATGTGTGTTAATACTGCAATCCTATCAGCCATGGAGAGATATATTGTGTTATCTGCTAAATTGCCTGTGGCTTTTACAGCCCTCTATTTTCTAATTGCCCGGAATAGCAAACCCATTCCAGTGACTATCTGGTATATGACTAGCTGGTATATAAACCATCTTTCCATCTGAATATTATTGACTTTTGAAAAATGACCCATGACTGAAAGACATAGATCTTTAACATCTCTCCAAATACCTTTTGTATTCTCATACATTTCATGTCAACACAGTTTTACCCTGTGGGTGTTCTGACGAACTGGTGACAACCATTAATGTCACACTCCTATCCAGTATAATGGATGACACATGTTCCTCCTTCATGAATACATCCATGTGGGGTTCTTCATTCCCCAGCGCAAGCTAGACCAGTCATTTCCTCGTCATGCCTCACGGATCCCAAATGAGCCTATCAAAATAATTACAACAGGTATGGGCCTAAAGAGAGCTGTTGAGTGAAAGGTTAGATAAGACATCACTCAGTCAAAAACACATCTGCTGCTCTGAAGGGATTTTCTCCCACAGCATGGAAAAACACTGAACCGATAACTGGTTGCCTTTCAAAAGAAATGTCCACAAGGAGAGTATTTTCCAACTTTCTGTTAGAACTAGATATGTTTTTTTTCTCCAATTTGTGTAATCTCTCTAGATGCATAGAGACAGGGGCCTACAGTTCTGTTGTACAGTATCAGACAGTCACTGAAGCATCAGAACTTTGCACTACTGAGCTTCAATTCAAACGTGTGCAAATGCAGCTGTCATTAGTAATACGAAACCAGTACCTGGTTATTTAGCATAAAGATAAAGCATGCATATAGGAGCAACAGCACTTACTATAAAAGAGCCCACCAAGTCCTCAAAGGGACATCAGAATGGTCACAGCGTTTTGGAATCTCTTTACAAGCTCTTTCTTAGTTGAATCCCTAAAAAAGAAATCATAGCAACAGCGACTGCTAGGCTACTCCATCCATCAATGTGTAAAATGTGCTGAGATGTTAGTCTTGAGCTTCAACAGCCTGCTCTGACTGCCTCCCTCATATGTGTGTTCCAGAGTGTTAAATGTCAGTCAGTGTGAGATGAGAGAAAAAGTGATCAACTGGCTAAAAAGGGAATGTATTGGAATATTTAGAAGTATTTCATGGCATGCTGCTATAGGCCCTACTACAGTATATATTTACAGTGACTTGCGAAATTATTCACCCCCTTGGCATTTTTCCTATTTTGTTGCCTTACAACCTGGAATTAAAATTGATTTTTTGGGGGGTTGTATCATTTGATTTACACAACATGCCTACCACTTTGAAGATGCAAAATATTTTTTCTTGTGAAACAAACAAGACACAAGACAAAAAAACAGAAAACTTGAGCGTGCATAACTATTCAATACTTTGTAGAGCCACCTTTTGTAGCAATTACAGCTGCAAGTCTCTTGGGGTATGTCTCTATAAGCTTGGCACATCTAGCCACTGGGATCTTTGCCCATTCTTCAAGGTAAAACTGCTCCAGCTCCTTCAAGTTGGATGGGTTCCGCTGGTGTACAGCAATCTTTAAGTCACACCACAGATTCTCAATTGGATTGAGGTCTGGGCTTTGACTAGGCCATTCCAAGACATTTAAATGTTTCCCCTTAAACCACTCGAGTGTTGCTTTAGCTGTATGCTTAGGGTCATTGTCCTGCTGGAAGGTGAACCTCCATCCCAGTCTCAAATCTCTGGAAGACTGAAACAGGTTTCCCTCAAGAATTTCCCTGTATTTAGCGCCATCCATCATTCCTTCAATTCTGACCAGTTTCCCAGTCCCTGCCGATGAAAAACATCCCCACAGCATGATGCTGCCATCACCATGCTTCACTGTTGGGGATGGTGTTCTCGGGTTTGCGCCAGACATAGCGCTTTCCTTGATGGCCAAAAAGCTCATCTGACCAGAGTACCTTCTTGCATATTGGGGAGTCTCCCACATGCCTTTTGGCAAACACCAAACGTGTTTGCTTATTTTTTTCTTTAAGCAATGGCTTTTTTCTGGCCACTCTTCCGTAAAGCCCAGCTCTGTGGAGTGTACGGCTTAGAGTGGTCCTATGGACAGATACTCCAATCTCCGCTGTGGAGCTTGCAGCTCCTTCAGGGTTATCTTTGGTCTCTTTGTTAACTCTCTGATTAATGCCATCCTTGCCTGGTCCGTGAGTTTTGTTGGGCGGCCCTCTCTAGGCAGGTTTGTTGTGGTGCCATTTTCTTTTCATTTTTTAACAATGGATTTAATGGTGCTCCGTGGGATGTTTAAAGTTTCAGATATTTTTTTACAACCCAACCCTGATCTGTACTTCTCCACAACTTTGTCCCTGGCCTGTTTGGAGAGCTCCTTGGTCTTCATGGTGCCGCTTGCTTGGTGGTGCCCCTTGCTTAGTTGTGTTGCAGACTCTGGGGCCTTTCAGAACAGGTGTATATCCACACAGGTGGACTTTATTTAACTCATTATGTGACTTCTGAAGGTACTTGGTTGCACCAGATCTTATTTAGGAGCTTCATAGCAAAGGGGGTGAATACATATGCACGCACCACTTTTCCGTGATTAATTTTTTGGAATTCTTTGAAACAAGTTATTTTTTTCATTTCACTTCACCAATTTGGACTATTTTGTGTATGTTCATTACATGAAATCCAAATCGAAATCCATTTAAATTACAGGTTGTAATGCAACAAAATAGGAAAAACGCCAAGGGGGATGAATACTTTTGCAAGGCACTGTATATATCATATATGAGCAGTCAGGAATATGTTTAATATCAAGCAATTATTCCTTTATTTTTTGGGAAGATTCTTTAACAGTAACAGATTGTAAAGCATCTGTCGGGATGCACCTAGTTTAATGACAGCCAATTTACAAACACAATATTTGTATCACTCCACTGAGCTGCATAAAGGTAAAAAAGCATCTTGCTGCTGCGATTCACGCTTTAACGGGGACATTCAGCAAAGGCCAATAAAGTGTAATTGTGTGAACAGAGAGACGTAATAAGCGGAGCATTTTCACCACCCACTCTCTTTGCAAGCAGGTTGCCTGGTGTTCAGCTGAGAAGTCTCAAATGGAAATTATACTGAGCTACAACAACAATGTAGCCTACTGTTCATATGTATTCACAGCATATATTTAAACAGTAAATATAACAACAGCATGAGTTGTTTTAAACTATATCTGTTTAATTAATTAATGTGACCAAAATAGCACAGTACATCCACGTCACTTTGTCTCTGCTCAGTCCGAGGGAGAACATGGTGAGTGAATGCAGGTGAATGGATGTAATCTCCTATCAGGTTTAGATCCTCAGTGAGTTGTCAACAGGTGGAGCAGAACCAGAGACCAGTAGATTGAATGAGTCAAAACTAAATATAACTCAAACCCATACAAACTGCACAAAACAGGCTACATTACATTATACTCACACTGCCAGTTTCCTGTGTTGGGAGGGCTCCTCATATCCACACCTAGTCTTTACCAAGACATTTGAGAACACTAAAGCCCTCATTTGTGTATTTCAATTGTATGCTGCATATTTTCAGGGCAGAGTATTCAATTATATAGTGAGGAAAGGTTGATTTTATGATCAGGGGTCTTGGGCTGTTATAAGGCACAATCAATAAAACAAAATGATCACATAACTGGAACAGAATTATGAATAATAAAACACAAGGTTAATAATGTCAGTACTTATTATTTCTTAGCTTGTCTCAGTATACAGCTAGTAAAATGTGCATCTGGTTGGTTGGCTCTTTGGTCTGGAAGCTAGCAAGATTGAAAATGACACTATGGTTCTGCCAAATATTAGGTTTACAAAGGCTAACAGATGACAGTCAATTCCCAGCTATCACATAACGTTCTGAGAACCATATGTTTCTTAGATCTTGGTGAGAGTGTGGTTGCCCTATGGTTATTTTGCATACAACCTTCCCACAACATTCTGGGAATGGTGCAGGATACCCAGCTAGCACATAACATTCTGAAAACCATATCGTTTCGTAGGTGGGAATTACAGTACATCAGCATAATGTTTTCTGCAGGTTTCCTCATGGTTCTATTTAAAGTCATGTTCTCAGAACATTAAATAATAATATAATATGCCATTTAGCAGACGCTTTTATCCAAAGCGACTTACAGTCATGCGTGCATACATTTTTGTGTATGGGTGGTCCCGGGGATCGAACCCACTACCTTGGCGTTACAAGCGCTGTGCTCTACCAGCTGAGCTACAGAGGACCCATTAAGAAAACTTTCCATAAAAAACACAAGAAAACATTAGTAAGGTTCAAAGAAAGTTCTAAGAATGCTATTTAAAAACATATACATTTTGTTCTCAGTGTCAACAACTCTCTCTATCCTCTATCTTGTTAAGTGTGTTCAGGAGTGTGGGTCGCGCCCACTAATTGGCCACATCTGCACTTAATGAGTGCTTGTTTCCTTTGAAATGAGGTCTGTTTGAATAGACTAAAATGAACAGCTTCGTATGAGTTTTTGAAAAAACATGGCACACTAGCTGCATCCTGGTAGTGCAGTGGACTAATTCAATGGATAGACAACAGAAGATCATAGGTTTGAATCGCACTGACACAAAATACATGTGTTTCCATGATTAAAACCTAAGAAAATGAATTTCCATCAGTGGAGGCTCCTCAGAGGAGGAAGGGGAGGACCATCCTCCTCAGTGAATTTCATAAAAATAGTGGAACATTAAAAAACGTATCCTTTTTAGATAAAACTATACTAAATATATTCACCAAATAATTGAAATAAAACACACTGCTTTGCAATGAAGGTCTACAGTAGCCTCAACAGCACTCTGTAGGGTAGCACCATGGTGTAGCCGGAAGACAGCTAGTTTCTGTCTTCCATTGACTTCAATATAAAACCTAGGAGGCTCATGAATCTAGTACTGAAAGCATAAGCTACAGCTAGCTAGCACTGCAGTGCATAGAATGTGGTGAGTAGTTGACTCAAATTAATTTCTTTAAAATGAAGGAGAAGCAAGAGAGAGCGAGCTAGCTAGCTATATTTCATAGTATTTTTTTTTCACTTTCACTTAGCTAGCTACTTAGCTAGCGAATGCAGCTAGCTAGTTTAGCCTACTCAGAAACCCGGCTCAAACAGAGAAGGATGCCATGTTAGCTAGCTGGCTATGGTTATCCAACACTGGAACTTTTCCAAGTCAAGGTAAGCTTTTGGTTTTATTCAATTATTGCCACCGGGGCCCGCCAGTGTAACTGCTAAACTGTTTGCTGACTGTACACTGTACTAAATGAATGTAGTGGATTTACTAACGATTTAGTTCTTGTAGCTATGTTGACTATAACGTTAGCTAATATGGTGACAACGATGTAGACTGTGTGTAGCGGTTAGCGGTTATGATATGAAGGTTTGGCTTTGAAAGGTTTTTTAGCCTGGTCACAGACAGCTGATGTGTTGTGTACTGAAGTACACAAGCGAAGGGAAAAAGTGAGAGGAGGAGAGCACATCTACCCAGATGTAAGAAAGAATTAACGAGCAAAGTGATCATGCTGTTTGTATGTGGCTGCTATGAAAGTGAACTGTGTTTGCATGTGATCGGGGGTGTAGTCATTCCACCTAATCTGTTGAAAAACGTTTCTTAAACAGAAGCAAACAGAACGAAACTGGGATAAACATATTTGTATTTGTTTGCAACTGTTGGACTAATGATTACACCCTGGATCAGCTAAATGCAGGCAAGAGCGTGCAAGGCGTTATTGAATGTATCACTGTCTGTCACCTTGATTATTCAAATGTTTCTCTTGACCTGTGCATTTATGTTGTAAACTTAAATTCATAGGCTAGGTTGTAGCAACCTCATGATGGGTTTAGGGGAATATTTAGTATCATGTAACCTAAACCTATCGATGTTACATTTAGCTGGGTGAATGGAATATGAATGAAAGTCATCCAATATGCTGTAATAGAAATAAGGCCATGCTCATAAAAAAAAGTATTGTCCTCCCTCATCTTAAACGGCATCGACCTTCACTGATTTCCATGTGTCCTATCTGTGCTTGGAGTTCAAAACAGTTAACCTAAGCTAGCTGTGTTATTAAAAGTCTTATTGAAACATGTTCTCAGAACATTATTTAATTACCTTCAAATAACCTATAATTTCCATTGTCAGAACGTTAATAAAAACCTCCCAGGCTACATTTTCACTTCCATTCTCAGAACGTGTTAAAAAACATTCTGTTTTACCAGTCAGGGAACTTATAGGGAAATCTTAAAATGTTCCTACATAATATTCATCATCCCCAGAACCACCCCAACTCAACATATTGCACAAATTGTCATCATTAACCAATTAGTAGACATTGCCTACTCATAATTAGTAAGAAATCACACAATGATGTCATTGGAAACACTTATCTTCCTCTATCTTTTTTTACTACAAAACATAGAAAACACACAATTTTCACATATGTTGATGTTGGGGTGGTGCTGGAGATGATAAATATGAAGTTGACATTTTTTTAAATTTCCCTTTAAGCCTTTTTTTCTAGATCCAATGGGAAGCCAAAAACGTACATTTCCACATTTTTTTCTCTAAGGAACCAAATGTGCTAGCTGGGTTTCCTCTCACAGAAAGCTGCTGCAGACTGAATGTTAAAGTTGGATGAGCTCCTATAGGGACCTATGGACCGCTGGTCAGGAGTGGACATGACATCTCTCACAAAGAGGCTTATAGGTCCACAGTGAAGACTTATGCTCCTTAGAGTGACACCCTGTCAGGTTAATTGTCCATGAGGTTGCTCTGAGATGAGAGAGCACTGACCCCCAGCGTGACTCCTGGCTTTAATGGCAACATCTTCTGCTGTGGAGGAGGGCCAGTGTCAAGGTTATGGGCTTAATCTGGACAGGCCAGTCACAGGTTGATTATTCTCTCTCTCTCTCTCTCTCTCTCTCTCTCTCTCTCTCTCTCTCTCTCTCTCTCTTCTCTCTCTCTTCTCTCTCCTCTCTCTCTCTCTCTCTCTCTCTCTCTCTCTCTGTGTCAAAGGCTTTTATTGACAATTACATTAAGTTTATGCAAAGAGTCAATATTTGCAGTGTTGACCCTTCTTTTTCAAGACCTCTGCAATCCACCCTGGCATGCTGTCAATTAACTTCTGGGCCACATCCTGACTGATGGCAGCCCATTCTTGCATAATCAATGCTTTATGGGTTTTTGTTTGTCCACCCGCCTCTTGAGGATCGACCACAAGTTCTCAATGGAATTAAGGTCTGGGGAGTTTCCTGGCCATGGACCCCAAATTTTGATGTTTTGTTCCCTGAGCCACTTAGTTATCACTTTTGCCTTATGGCAAGGTGCTCCATCATGCTGGAAAACGCTTTGGGAGACGGTCCTGGCGCTTACTGGACTTTCTTGGGCGCCCTGACGCCTTCTTCACAACAATTGAACCTCTCTCCTTGAAGTTCTTGATGATCCGATAAATGGTTGATTTAGGTACAATCTTACTAGCAGCAATATCCTTGCCTGTGAAGCCCTTTTTGTGCAAAGCAATGGTGACAGCACGTGTTTCCTTGCAGGTAACCATGGTTAACAGAGGAAGAACAATGATTTCAAGCACCACCCTCCTTTTAAAGCTTCCAGTCTGTTATTCTAACTCAATCAGCATGACAGAATGATCTCCAGCCTTGTCCTCGTCAACACTCTCACCTGTGTTTAAGAGAGAATCACTGACATGATGGCAGCTTTTCCTTTTGTGGCAGGGCTGAAATGTAGTGGAAATGTTTTTTGGGTATTAAGTTCATTTTCATGGCAAAGAGGGACTTTGCAATTAATTGCAATTCATCTGATCACTCTTCATGACATTCTGGAGTATATGCAAATTGCCATCATCAAAACTGAGGCAGCAGACTTTGTGAAAATTAGTATTTGTGTCATTCTCAAAACGTTTGACCAGGACTGTATATGCACATATGACCTTCAGGAACAAAGCTCTCATCTGAACGGGAGTTTGAGGGATGCTTTTATGCATTCTACAGGTTAGCCACTAATAGGCGATATGCACAGGCGAGCATGACGTATTTCCGGTTAAATCTCAGGATGGATGTAAACTTCCGGTTATCGTAGAATGCTGTGCTACCGTATGCTAGCGTTGAATGCTTGTCGTCAAAAACATCCGAAACTGTTAATTTTTGTTGTTGTTGTTGTTTATCTTAATGTTTATGTTAATGTTTTTACTTGTAATACTTCGTCTTGACTTATAACACGATGACAGCTCTTCCAGCTCACCACTGTAGCCCTTGTAAAGTGTAGATCTGGAATAACAATATCAGGAAAAGTAAAGGGTTCACTAGGAAATACACCAGAATCTAACAGCGATTAATAACATTTATTTCGCAACACATTGTAGTCTGCCTATTTAATTGGACTCTGCATACCTAATTCCTCTTGCTGGAGTAGCATCTGGTTTGGGCTTCACTACAACCATGACATCCACAGGTCCTGGCTTCACTCCCTATTTATTTATGAGATGGTATTAGGAGAGATGCTAGTATGCATGTGACACAACTGTCTGGTATTGAAATGATACAAACCATTGTTCGTGGTTTATGCCACTTCTGCTATGTTTCACTGCACGAAAGTACAGGACAGACGACAGACATGCCACATTCAGAGTAATGGGCAGTCTGATATAGTAATGCAACCAAATGATTACATATCCCACACCCAGCCACACAGGAACAGTAGCTTTTAACAAGCACAACTGGCTGTGAATCACGCAATGTTATCTGAAATACACAGAAGCATAATTTGGGTTTTGAAAGGGGTTTTGAAAGACGAGGGTCTACAGCAGCAGGAGCAAAACTTGTTCTTTCTACTTTTTACTGGTGTAAGCAACTTATCTACTGTCTCCTGTCACTTTTGTGCTTTCTGCATCACTTTCCTACTGTCTTGCACCACTTGGCTATACTGTCTCCCACCACTTACCTATTGTCTTGTGCCATTTACCTAACCTCAAACAGTATTGGCAGAGCAGTAGGTGAGTGGTGCAACATTGTAGCCTAGTACCAATAACAACAGTAGAGTGAAGGTTTTGCTCCTAATTCCTCTTGAAAAGTAGAAACATCAAGTACAAAAGCAAGGAAGTTGGGCCATATGTTTATAAAGAACTGAGTAAAGATGACAGGACAGTTTTGAGTAGAACATCAGCAGTTTGAAGAATAGCTGAGTGGAATATGTTACTGTCATTGCAGTCATCAAGTCAAATTTGGTTACAACAGACCCAACAACAAAGCATGGCAATTCCCACTCAGCTACCATGGTCTGTATTAGGCTACCACTGTTCAGCTATCATGAAAACCCCTAAAGTTCTAAAGTGTTCTCTTAGCAATGGCAATCAAAGCTGTGGTAACATGAAACGAGTAAAACATGTGTTGAACGGAACCTTGAACAAGTTCAACAGAACTTTGAACGTGTCACTTAATCTAGTCCTACTCTCAGCTGGTGTGGTGGCTTTAGTTTCTTCATTGAGCGGGAGCAGTGGGCTCTCACAGAGATCTCATTTGTAGCCCTGTTTTTACCTGATACTTTCATAAAAGTACAAACACATGAAGTGAGAGGTATATACACATGATTCAACTTTATTTAAAGCATGATTAACCTGAAGCAGGATGGAGTCATGACTTAAAATGAGATGGTATTAGGAGGCAGGTAGCTTAGTGGGTAAGAGCGTTGTGCCAGTATCCGAAAGGTCGCTGGTTCTAATCCCCGTGCTGACTAGGTGAAAAATCTGTCAATGTGCCCTTAAGCAAGGCACTTAACCCTAATTGCTCCTGTAAGTCGCTCTGGATAAGAGCGTCTGCTAAATGACTAAAATGTTAAAACACCAAAGCAAGGCTTCTAGCTCAGGCTAGCTAGCGTTAGCATATTACCTTCAAAGTTGCAAAGAAAATAAGAAATGTGAAGCCTTTATCCAGTTTGCTACGTGGTGTCGTACTGGATGTCTGGACGACCCTCCATATATCATTAACATATACTTTAGGCAACTCCAGCAAACACCTTGTAAACTTCATCTCTGACATCATAACGGTCTACTGTCACTGTCTAATGTTTTTTTCCGGTAACCGGAAATGCCCAAGCATCCTTACGCCAATGCGGAAGTGATGCATGCATAGAGCCTATTACAGTGCCACAGGAAACACTGACGAAAACCTTGGTCCTCCCCATGCACATGTATTTTTGTCTGAACTATCCTTAGAATTGCCATTGCTGGCGTCAATCTGTAGATACATGCTGCCACTCATGGATAGGGCTATAACGTCATCTAGTGTGCAGAAATGATTCTGCATTTTGCTGTTATTCCTTTTTTTGCAACCGTGTTACATCAGGCCATTTTTGTCCTTCGTAGGTTCCCGTCATTAACCCCACGTAAGAGCGCATGTGCACATTGAAAGGTGAAGCGGATAGATAGCAAGCGAGCTAACGTTAGGTCAAGGATAAACACAGATAATAACTATTGATATTTTCAACGTATTTGATTGATTTATGCTTGCAAGAAGGGGATATTCTTCAACGTATTCATTTAAGGTAATATCTTACATTTATGTTGTCAGAACCTAACAACTAATATAAATCGGCTAGCTGTGTGGTCTTGCACCGCAGTAAATTTGTTTTTACTTTCGATATTCGGAGTTCGCTCGTCAATAGCTCTCCGACGGAAGGTCCTAGGATGATGATAGGGATATATCGAGAATCAGATGATGGTAGGGGGCAAGGTACACCCGTTGTTGTTGTTGTTTTTATAATCGATGGTTGAACACCTTCCTTAACAGAGCAGAAAAGGAGGCATTATGCTGATTTCTGGTGTTCATGTGGTTTAGGGACCGTGGTGATATTGGTGATTGAAGTGTAATATTGGTGATTGAATGTAAACAAAGTAGACATTTTTGCATTCCCATTCAGGAGGGTTAGCCCTATATGAAAATTACACACTGCATAGGGCCTCCAGTCACTAACGGGCCCAATATTTTTATTAGTTACCTCTAACTACTAAGGGTCCTATATTTGACCCATTTACAAGGATACTTTTCCAAATCTTCCTCTCCAGGTGAAATTGAGATTTAAAACCACAATGTGAAGTCACTGACCCCCCCATTCATTAGAATTCCAGTTCACCACAATATTTCCTGATATTTTCAATAGCTCCCTGTCCCTATGAGTTACAGATGTACAGACAAGTGTGTTGGGTTCCTTGACCACTCTTATCAAAATATTCATTTATAATCAGGGAACTTTAAAATGGGAATTCTTATTGGTGCATCATAGATTTTCGCTCTCTAGGTCATGCAAGTAGGTTATTTATTTGAGCTCGTATTTTGACATAAAATCCATTAAAAATAAATAAGTTAACATTTTAAAATGTAATTGTTGTGGGGGGAAAACTAAAAGAACGTTTTTCTGTGAACACCAGGTTTGGCTGATTGCACTTTTAAGACTGTCCCTTAGCAGCCAGCACATAATACTGTTAGCAGTTGATGTTATTCTTCAATAACACAGACCCCAAAGCAAATCAGGGGGAGAAAATATATTCATTCAAAGCGAATACATTATAGTTCTTATGCTTGAAAGTAGATGGTAGATGTTCATTCTTCCCTGTTCTCAATGTTTCTCAACAGAACAAAGAGAGGATGTAGTTTATAGCCTCAAGCCTAGCATGTGGCTGAACAATTAGAATTCCTTGCAATACAATTGGGCTACCAAACCCCCAAGTATCCTGTTTCAGGATCAATGTATAGACCATTTGGACCAATGAAAACTTGCCACATGTAGCTATGAATCAAAACAACTATTTCCATTAATTGTTAATTCCCTCTTGACCGCCAGTCCTCTTGACCACTAGTCGTCTGCGTTGTGTATATTTATCTTCGAATATTCTTACAATACCAATGTAAAGTCACTTTTTGTAAACAAAACGGAGGGGGGAAAAGGCTGTACCTTGCGCTCTATTGTCATCTGATTCTAGATATATCACCTTAATCATCCTAGAGCGCTCTGTCAGAGGTATTGACGAGCTAACTCCAAATATCAAACCAATATCGAAACTGAAAACAAATTTGCTGCAGTTTTGCGAGCAGGGGTGTATTCATTAGTCAAATTCTGTTACAAAACGTTTGGGCTGTTGGGAAATGTGACTGGAAGAAGTTGGAAGGAACCCCGTGGACTTCACTCCACTTTAGAGCATGGAAGAATTGATCATTTATAGATGTGCAGCTTGTGCCAAACACTTCAGACTATTCTGATTGGAATGGTAAGGAAATCATACTGTACTTACTGTCTTTGCCAGTAAAATGAACTACAATTTCCATTTAAGAACCCAACAGCTTTTACGTCATGTTGAAGAGCGTTTGGAGTAAACGGAAAGTGGAGTAAAAAGTGAGAGCTGTGGTGTATTCATTGGTCAGAATTCGACCAATGAATACACCACAGCTCTCACTTTTTGGTTAGCTAACATTAGCTGGCTAGCTAGCTAACATTCCCTACAGTCCTGCTGTACCCTGTTATGTAGTGTTGTGGCAGCTATCTCGTCTGAAATAGTTGTCGTCAATGAGCACAATAAGTGACAGTACTACGGGGTAAGGTAGCTACAGGATATTCTGAATTGTGTGATTCCAATTATTTGTAGCAAGCTAGTTAGCCTGTTGACAGTCAACTGCTGTTTGTTTTTAGCTATTTAGCTTGATGATAATCAGTTTATGCACCTACTTTCAGTGTTGTGTGTCTAGTTTATGCAGTTGGTTAATTTATTACTTTGTCTTTTGCAGTTTTGCAAGTGGATAACAGAAGAGAGGGAGAGGCCCAACAGGATGGCCAGTGTAAGTCCATTTGACATAGACTTCCAGATTTGATCAGAATCCAATCTCACACACACACTTAATGCTTGTGTGTGTCCAGGTGGTGATGTTCTTTCTCTGTTCCTCAGGTGCTCTGTAGCAGAGCCAGGCTGGTGACTTACCTGCCAGGGCTTCATGTACTGGTCCGGCGGATTGCTGGAACCAACCAGAGAACATTCTCTGGTGCTGGATCATCTGGCTCTGATGAGCCTCGTGTAGCCATCACACCCCCTGACCTTGGTAAGTGCAGACCTCTAATCACAATGATGATACTGTACTTGCCTGAATGTGAACGTCATATACCAACTGTCTGTTATTCAGAAGGTAAGTGAATCAATCGGCTCAATAATTGGATCAACTTGTTAAATTATGTCTCATTGTCAGGACCCAGGACAGTTTGGCCAGATGATACTATGGGTCCGTTCGGGCCTCAGGACCAACGCTTCCAGCTGCCAGGTAACTCAGGCTTCGACTGCCACCTGGAAGGAACAGCAGAACAGAAAATTAAAGGCCCAGTCCACCGGACAGTCCCCGACGTGCTCTCTGCTCCCTCCAGCAGCGAGAGGCATGAGTTCATCCTTGCCCAATTTGTCGGCGAGTTCCAAGTAAGTGTGGTTTGGTTTCACATTTGACATACGTTTATTCTGGTGATAATGAAGCATATGCATATTATGCAGCATAATATTTGGGGATGTTTTTGGTTTTTCTGAGCAACGTTCCATGATTGTTTGTCTTAGGGGAACGAGGCCGATCCCCCGGAACAAAGAGTCAACAGAGCAGAACAGTACTTTGATAACTCCAATGTAGAGTGTGCAATACAGTCTTGCCCTGAGCTGCTGAAGAAAGGTACATTTATGATTGTTTTCCTTTCACCAGCAGATATAGCCCTATGTGAGCAGTCTTACTTTCTGTAAAAATGCACAACAAACAGTGCATTCGGAAAGTATTCAGACCCCTTCCCCTTTTCCAAATTTTGTTAAGTTACAGCCTTCTTCTAAAATGGATTAAATACATGTTTTTCCTCATCAATCTACACATGTATTACAAATAAAAAACAGATACCTTATTTATATAAGTATTCAGACCCTTTGCTATGAGACTTGAAATTGAGCTCAGGTGCGTCCTGTTTCCATTGATCATCCTTGATGTTTCTACAACTTGATTGGAGTCCACCTGTGGTAAATTCAATTGATTTGACATGATATGGAAAGGCACACTCCTGTCTATATAAGGTCCCACAGTTGACAGTGCATGTCAGAGCAAAAACCTAGCCATGAGGTCCAAGGAATTGTCCGTAGAGCTCCGAGACAGGATTGTATTGAGGCACAGATCTGGGGAAGTGTACCAAAAAATATCTGTAGCATTGAAGGTCCCCATGAACACAGTGGCCTCCATAATTCTTAAATGGAAGCAGTTTGGACCCACCAAGAATCTTCCTAGAGCTGGCCGCCCGGCCAAACTGAGCAATCGGGGGAGAAGGGCCTTAGTCAGGGAGGTGACCAAGAACCCGATGGTCACTCTGACAGAGCTCCAGAGTTTATTTGTGGAGATGGGAGAACCTTCCAAAAGTACAGCCATCTTTGCAGCACTCCACCAATCAGGCCTTTACGGTAGAGTGGCCAAACGGAAGCCACTCCTCAGTAAAAGGCACATGACAGCCCGCTAGGAGTTTGCCAAAAGGCACCTAAATGACTCTCAGACCATGAGAAACATGGTCTGATGAAACCAAGATTGAACTCTTTGGCCTAAATGCCAAGCATCACGTCTGGAGGAAACCTGGCACCATCCCTACGGTGAAGCATGGTGGTGGCAGCATCATGCTGTGGGGATGTTTTTCAGCGGCAGGGACTGGGAGACTAGTCAGGATAAAGGGAAAGATGAACGGCGAGATCCTTGATGAAAACCTGCTCAGGACTTCAGACTGAGCCGAAGGTTCACCTTCCAACAGGACAACGACCCTAAGCACACAGCCAAGACAACGCAGGAGTGGCTTTGGGACAAGTCTCTGAATGTCCTAGAGTGGCCCAGCCAGAGCCTGGACTTGAACCCGATCGAACATCTCTGGAGAGAAGAAAATAGCTGTGTAGTGACGCTCCCCATCCAACCTGACAGAGCTTGAGAGGATCTGAAGAGAAGAATGGGAGAAACTCCCCAAATACAGGTGTGCCAAGCTTGTAGCGTCATACTCAAGAAGCCGCGAGGCTGTAATCGCTGCCAAAGGTGCTTCAACAAAGTACTGAGTAAAGGATCTGACTACTTTTTTAGCAAAATTTCTAAAACCCAGTTTTTGCTTTGTCATTATGGGGTATTGTGTGTAGATTGATGAGGGGAAAATACTATTTAATCCATTTTAGAATAAGGCTGTAACGTAACAAAATGTCGAAAAAGTCAAGGGGTCTGAATACTTTCCGAAGACACTGTTTGTAAAATAAGACACTGATCATGCTACACACATTTTCTGTTATACTTTCAAACTTGTTGATATACTGTGTCTGTGTATATTATGTCCACATCTTAAATGGGGAATGGATAAGGAAAAAGAGGACAAAGCACTAACCTATTCACGTGTTTGTGAGATTTATATTGAGATTTTACATGCATCCAGTAGAGGGGGCTCAAACACTAAAGGAACGTACATACTGTATGAGCATAATAACTCTATTGGTGTGATGGTCATGTTCGTTTTTGACCATGCATGTTCTCCCCATGTGTTTGCAGATTTTGAGTCAATGTTCCCTGAGGCCCCTAACAATGGCATGACTGTTGTCACGGTGACCCAGAAGACGCAGAATGACATGACAGCGTGGTGTGAGGAGGTGGACAAAGAGAGGGAGTTGATGCTAGACAAAGTGAGTTGGTGTCACAACACAGTGGGTAGTTTTACACATAACATATGAACAACAGTAACCGTCTATCAGAACTACTGAAGATAATACTGACACTTTTACTGTCTGAAATAGTAGGGAGTTATCAGTTGCTAGTATATGGCAAACACATGTATATGCTAACCCAATCTGTGTTTTCCTCTGAGAACTACATTTTAAGGAATTTAAAGGATTAAACTGTACATAGTCTTTCAGACTCAATGCCTCTAAGTATTAGCAAGTACCTATTTGTAGCAAGTACTCTTTTGTTTATGATAATGGGATTGTGCATTACATATTCCCAATCTCAGCATTACAATAGAAGACTTCTGTTAGTAGTCTGAGTGTGTGAGACGGCAGTGCGTGTTAGAGCAGGGCTTGCTTGTGACAGTGTGTGTTATTCACCGTCTGATTAACATGCCCTTGGTTGAGAATCGGTCTAATTGTGCTGCTGACCCCCTTGACTGCACTCATTTACTAGACACTGACACACACCCTCATCTCCTCTCCCGTCCCAGCAATAGGCTAGATCTCTACAACAGCACTTGTTGCCATCTTACATGGTGATATGATTACCAATAACAATCTGTTTGAACAGATGGTCTCTTGTATCTGTAAAAAATATATATATACATATAGCAAGCAGGTCATGCATGTACCGCACATGTTTGTAGTTCACAACATACAATCAGAATGTTGGGCACTATCTCGCATGTTTGTAACAGTACAAAATCGGAATGCTTGAAACTAACATAGAAATCGAATCGATTGTCGAAGGTAAATTTGTTGTTGCATTGTTCTCTTGTTGCAGTTTGTTGCCGGTGCCAAGGAAATCTGTTATGCCCTGAGGACAGAAGGCTTCTGGGCTGACTTCATAGACCCATCCTCAGGCCTGGCAGTAAGAAGTGACTAAAATGGCTGCTTAAGGATTAGCACTATGCTACATAAATAGTTGTCACATATAATATTTTATGAACAATACATACAGTTGTAAGACAGGGGTGGCAGTTGTGTGGTCTTCTTGACGATTGAAATTGATTATATTTGTTCAACTTAAATCTTTCAAACAAAAACAAGCAGTATTCAGATCTTTTCCCATGTGTTTGTTTCTTCCAGTTCTTTGGGTCGTACACCAACAACACACTGTTTGAGACAGACGAGAGGTACCGTAACCTGGGCTTCAGCATCGAGGACCTGGGCTGCTGCAAAGTCATCCGCCACACATTGTGGGGAACACATGTTTTCGTGGGGACAGTTTTCACTAACGCACCTCCCCAAAGCCTTATCATGAAGAAGCTGCAAGGGAACTAAACCTGAATGATGGGAGAGTGTCTGGAATGTGGTTGCTATTAAACCTTGACGTGTCAAGGCTCTTTACACAGGCCTCAACTACTATTCGCTGTTTCTTTGTCGTTCACATTTGTATAGAAACCCTCAATAGTAGTATGGTGCACCGATATTGTGAATACCAACCACCATGGTCCCTGACAGTTTTACCATTAGAGTATATTTATTTTCACCTCTGTCTGTACCCAGACAGTGTTTTTTCCATTAGTGTATTGTGGTTGAAGGCCTGATTGAAAAGGGTCTCTCTTGCAAAATAGATTTTATCTCAATGAGATTTATCTGTAAAAAATAAAGGTTAAATTGAATGGGAAATAGAAGGTGGAGGAAAAATCCACTCAACTTATCTTTGGGTATTATTTTCATGATACTGTGGAAAGTTTGCTTCTTCAAAGTCCAATGTCTTGAGAACTTTACTGCTGATTTACAAAACTTTTTGGGACCGTATTAACAGTGGACTAATAAGTAAATGTGTATAGTTTGAGTGGATTTCCCCGTTAAGGGTGGATTGACTCTGCCCAGGTGAGATTTTCATTGATAAACCCCAATTTTTATCAAAAGGTAAGAATGAGCTTTTCTGATGTCATGCGGTTATTCTCAAGAGCTCTTATTTGATCCGTGTTGCCTTCAGAATAGAGACCTCATGTCTTGTTCACACGTCCTGAGATCCAGTTAACCATTGAATCCTTGAATATTGTACTTGTGACAGTAATCAATGCACTTGTCTAGAAGAAAGAGGGGCAGCACTTGTCTCTCTCCTTCACTTTAGAAGATGAACTGTTTTTAAAAGGGTCTGTGATTCTTGTGGCAGCTTTTGTCCTGAGGTCCACACATTAAATGCAATAAAACACATCACCTTGTCAGTGGTCAGTTCATTCTGGGTGAAGGGAAGCAGGCATTGTTGAAGTGACCTTCATATAAATTGGTGTTGTGAGGGGAGATATGAAATAAACATTAAAAGAAAAGAAAAAGGTTTGCATTTGAAATTATTTGACCTAATGACCCACAGCTCTCATTGACTGTAACAGGCACGTGTTTGAACTTGATAAGCTAAAATGAGCACTTCTCGGTTCAGGCTATTGTATAGGAAGGCACCAGTGGTAGGAGTGAATGTCTCTGGGGTAACATTAACATGTATTATCCTCTACTGTTCAAGCTAACGCACAGCAGATGGGACATAATCATTCTCCTCTAAGACCATGCCTGGGTTATTCAGTGCATAATTTAGATGGGTCCCCTGTCACACTATTGCAAATTAATTGCAGTTCTTTTGTACCTTCTAGAAATTATGCTGATAGATTCTCTATCCTCATTCTTGGAGTGCAAATGTTGTACCAGAAAACCATACCCAAACAAACGGGCTATTCCACAACATGCACTTGGTCATCTTTTAGGGATATTTACAAACACACTGAACACGGGTGTGACGCAGTAAGTAGGCCTAAGATGAATGATCATGACCTAAAACTGAATTCTCACAATTATGAGGTCACACTGGGTTTAAAGTTCACCAGCTTCTCTTTACACTGGGAATATAGTAACATGGATGAGACTATTCATTCCTGCTCTATGTAGCCCTGCTGCTGTACGTTTCCATGCGGTGATATATTACCTATTTACTCAGTTTGTCCTGTAGAGATGGTGTCTTGGTGAAAAGTATGGTACTGATCAGATAAAGATCCATAACAGAAGCTCTAACATGTCTAATCATTTAAATATTTCCCACTCACTTTCCTCAGCAGTGCTTTCAGATAAATGGCGGTAAAAAAGAAGTTGTAAATCTACTAAACACTGTAAGCTCTTCTCCACGATCAGCTGGCAAGCAAGATCGTATGATAAGATTATCTCAATATCAACTCAATAACTGGGAAACACAGATTTAGTGCAGTTTACACTGTCCTTAGAGAGGGGTTTAGTGGCAATACAACTAATGTAAGTAAATGTATTCATGTTAATAGGACTAGTGCACTAATAGTGCCAAGGCATGCAAGAGTTGTTGAGACTGAATAAGAGTGCACTGCTCCAACAAGTGGTCTCTGGTATTTATCACAGCAGGGTACAAACTCTGTTGGCCAACACCCCGTGTTCTTATAAGACCGACAAGGTCAAGGGTTGCGGTGCTGTGACCTGGACATAATGTACTTGTCACATGGGTTAACACCACAGACTAGATTTCCTTTTCTTGTATAGTAAGTTTAAGATAAAAAGTAACTGGGGGTCTATGACAAAATCGCTTACTGTGTTTTATTTCACTCTTATTGTCTCCCAGATACAGTACTTTGTGATTTGACATAGTGTTTGTTGTCTGGAAAGCTCAGGGGTGTATGTTCATAGAGATTGCGTGTGCTGTGAAATAAGTTAAAACAGATGTTAATTTAAACAGGCTCTGTGAACTGTACACAATGTACAGCCATCAAACAGCAAGGAGAAGATTAATGTCTAACTAATAATGTAAGCAATAGGAAGATTCAAGACCAAACATTTAGAAAAGGCTGAGAAAATGTGTGCAATGTAGGTTAATAAATCACTTTAAAGTCCCATATTTTCTAGCCAGTTTAATCTAACCAAATCAAACCATTCACTCCAAAGACAAGCACCACAAAGGTCAAGGCATAGTCACAATGTCTACTGAACTCAGATGCTTATAAACCCCAGTATAGTGTGTTGTGTGACCTAACCAGGGTGGAGGTGATTGTGTGTGTGAGATATGAGTCCAGAACCAGGGGCTTTACTAATCAGGCAATCCAGGCTAGACATCGTGACGGGGGGCTACCTCAGCATCAAACAACGGTGCGTGTGACCGTCACGAGTGGAGAGACCAGACAACAGCCTGGAAGCATTGAGTCTGTCTGGAATCTGTTTGCATGTTGGAGGGATCATTTCAGCCTCTTTACATGTTTGGTATCTTGGGTCGTGCCTCAGTGACCGCTGATTGACATGGCTCTCTATTGGCTCTAATTGGTTCTGAATGAACAAATTGTTTTTCTGTGTTACATTTGCATGGTCGCTCCAGACAGTTGTTGAAACTTCTGCAACAAAGAACCCTTTTGATTGCTTTTTCTCCTTGGAGAAAAGGGATGTCTATCCAAAATTATTGCATCTTCTTCTATGAATACAGACGATTTGTTTGCATATGAAATAGAAAAATATTGTTGACATTTCTTGGGACCCCTGCACCCTGGTTAATGCCTAAAATACAGTAAACCAATTGGCATAGAAACACACAGTCAACTGTCTCTGTAACAGGTGTTAAATGCCTGGGTGTGGACCCCAGACCCCACACAACTGTGAAAAGGATTACAGGGGAACATCCTAAAAACTGCAGAAAATGTTCTGGAACTGATTCCAGTTCTAGTTCCAGAAGTATGGAACTAATCATCACCTTATGGGCCGAGTTCTTGGGTTGGTTTATCTCAGATCAGCCAGTGAAGGGTTAACTGTTGAAGCAGGGCCCCATGCTGCTGACAGATAAGGCTGTACACAACAATTAGCTAACATCCCAGGCAGGCTGCAAGACAAAGATGTGGAGATGGCAGGTGAGTGTCAGACAGCAAACAAGTTAATCTAGTTGTACAATTCACATCACTCAACTCTAATAAAAAGTATGTTGCTTTTGGAAGGTCTCAAACCATCGCCTCAGAGGTTTTTCTCTCACATTCTCATCACTTTGTAGGCCTACCCACTGTGGTTGACTGTGTCTGTCAGTCTAACAGATCAGTCTTGGTTCAAATACATGTTTTTTTCCACCTTCTGCTTTCAGCTCCAATGCTAGCCAAGGTTTTGCATGTGTCAACTTTTTTTCTCTCCATTTTTTGTGGTTTTGAGGATTGCTGCTATTGTCTTGAAGGACTATTGCTGATGAAGTCTTTGATGTATAATGAGTCAGTCATTGTGTATTTACAATGGGGGGGAAAAGTATTTAGTCAGCCACCAATTGTGCAAGTTCTCCCACTTAAAAAGATGAGAGAGGCCTGTAATTTTCATCATAGGTACACGTCAACTATGACAGACAAATTGAGAAAAAAAATCCAGAAAATCACATTGTAGGATTTTTTATGAATTTATTTGCTAATTATGGTGGAAAATAAGTATTTGGTCACCTACAAACAAGCAAGATTTCTGGCTCTCACAGACCTGTAACTTCTTCTTTAAGAGGCTCCTCTGTCCTCCACTCGTTACCTGTATTAATGGCACCTGTTTGAACTTGTTATCAGTATAAAAGACACCTGTCCACAACCTCAAACAGTCACACTCCAAACTCCACTATGGCCAAGACCAAATAGCTGTCAAAGGACACCAGAAACAAAATTGTAGACCTGCACCAGGCTGGGAAGACTGAATCTGCAATAGGTAAGCAGCTTGGTTTGAAGAAATCAACTGTGGGAGCAATTATTAGGAAATGGAAGACATACAAGACCACTGATAATCTCCCTCGATCTGGGGCTCCACGCAAGATCTCACCCCGTGGGGTCAAAATGATCACAAGAACGGTGAGCAAAAATCCCAGAACCACACGGGGGGACCTAGTGAATGACCTGCAGAGAGCTGGGACCAAAGTAACAAAGCCTACCATCAGTAACACACTACGCCGCCAGGGACTCAAATCCTGCAGTGCCAGGCGTGTCCCCCTGCTTAAGCCAGTACATGTCCAGGCCCGTCTGAAGTTTGCTAGAGTGCATTTGGATGATCCAGAATGTCATATGGTCAGATGAAACCAAAATAGAACTTTTTGGTAAAAACTCAACTCGTCGTGTTTGGAGGACAAAGAATGCTGAGTTGCATCCAAAGAACACCATACCTACTGTGAAGCATGGGGGTGGAAACATCATGCTTTGGGGCTGTTTTTCTGCAAAGGGACCAGGACGACTGATCCGTGTAAAGGAAAGAATGAATGGGGCCATGTATTGTGAGATTTTGAGTGAAAACCTCCTTCCATCAGCAAGGGCATTGAAGATGAAACGTGGCTGGGTCTTTCAGCATGACAATGATCCCAAACACACCGCCCGGGCAACGAAGGAGTGGCTTCGTAAGAAGCATTTCAAGGTCCTGGAGTGGCCTAGCCAGTCTAGATAGAATAGAATAGAATAGAACTGTTTGGCCATAATGACCATCGTTATGTTTGGAGGAAAAAGGGGATAGCTTGCAATCCGAAGAACACCATCCCAACTGTGAAGCACGGGGGTGGCAGCATCATGCCTAGGGGGTGCTTTGCTGCAGGAGGGACTGGTGCACTTCACAAAATAGATGGCATCATGACGAAGGAAAATGATGTGGATATATTGAAGCAACATCTCAAGACATCAGTCAGGAAGTTAAAGCTTGGTCGTAAATGGGTCTTCCAAATGAACAATGACCCCAAGCATACTTCCAAAGTTGTGGCAAAATGGCTTAAGGACAACAAAGTCAAGGTATTGGTGTGGGCAGAACTGAAAAAGCGTGTGCGAGCAAGGAGGCCTACAAACCTGACTCGGTTACACCAGCTCTGTCAAGAGGAATGGGCCAAAATTCACCCAACCTTTTGTGGGAAGCTTGTGGAAGGCTACCCGAAACGTTTGACCCAAGTTAAACAATTTAAAGGCAATGCTACCAAATACCAATTGAGTGTATGTAAACTTCTGACCCACTGGGAATGTGATGAAAGAAATAAAAGCTGAAATAAATCATTCTCTCTACGATCATTCTGACATTTCACATTCTTAAAATAAAGTGGTAATCCTAACTGACCTAAAACAGGGAATTTTACTAGGATTAAATGTCAGGAATTGTGAAAAACTGAGTGCATACATTTTCATACTGGCCCCCCGTGGGAAACGAACCCACAACCCTGGCATTGCAAGCGCCATGCTCTACCAACTGTGCTACAGGGGACAATTGTATGTGGGAGTTTAAGCACATGCTGGCAGAATTTATCATAATCATTAATATTGTAAGGGGGAAATCGGCAGCATTCATATTTAATTGAGGTTGA